TTTCAGGAGAGATTAAATATGGATTTCCACATAAATATCCCAGTTCCGTCTTCTATGACTATTCTGATTATTCGACTCTATTTCTAATCAATTTTTAAAAAAAAAATCAGAGCGAAATGGGTCGTTCTCAAACGATGAATCCCTATACTATATGCTAAAGAGGATCAAAATTTTCTCTTCGAAATGCCTTGAAAAAAAATTTCGTCGCTGTGTTTCATTCTCTGGTGAACGTTCTTTTTGGATCGTTATTAACACAATTTTATTTTATTTATATTATTATTGTTGTTTTTTATACCATTTAATTTAAATTATCATTATTGTTTTTAATATGGTAGAACCCAGCTAAAGGAAACTGCTGTGCTTGAGAGTGGAAATATTCTGCAATTAGAATTCCCAAAGGTAAGGTAAAAAAGTTCATTAATTTCAATTGAATTCTCAGGACCCAGATTCGTAGGATACATTCATCCTTATTAGCTTCATGGATCCGAATGTTAAGCAGATTAATAAATTCAAACTGTTGAAATTAATTATTATCTGGTTTTTCACCCAAAATAATAATGAAATAATTTTTAGATGATTCTGGTATAAGATAAATTTTAGAAGTGGAAAATAACAAAATGGAAATGTGTAAATAATATGTAACTCATGTTATACTTGCAGGAGAGCCACGTTCAGCAAATAGACTCAAATCCGCTTTGGAGAACTCGTCTTCCATTGACNCATAACGGCTGAACCGATCGGGCCCAAATGGAAAATTTGTGTGCGGTTATAAGTGAAAAATGTAAATTTTATTATTACAGAAATCTATTCATGTTTACGGTAAAATCCGTATAATTAAATTTTACTAATGTATATTTACTGTTAGGTATGAGGTGATGAACAACATCAAGGAGCAGGAGAAGGAGGTCATCCCCTGCTCAGTCTGTCAGGAAGTCAAGCTCATTGAGAGAGAGATCATTAGGTACAAACAGAACATCAGCACACATTTTATAATCAATACAGGGGTCTATATGTTCTTGAAAATCTCCCCCCCCCCTTTCAAAAGGTCCTTTTTCTTCAGTATATTGGAACTAAAGGCTAGAGATTTGAACTCTTTCTGTGGCGAATTTTTGGATAAATCCTGCAGTAAGAAACCAGATCTGGAGTACAGAGTCAACAAGCTCGCAGCCAGTGATATTAGGTTTGGGAGCAATCACGACTTTTTCCTCATCAAATTCAAAATTCTATTAAAAGGATTGGAAACATAAGTTCAAAGGACCGCCATGTCATGTTTGATTCACAACGGTAGTCTTTAAACCGTTGTCTAATCAAGTATGAATTCGACCTTCTTATCATACGAACTTGATTATTTTAAATTCTAGTTTATCTATTCTCAAAAAGAGGTTTAAATGGTACCGTTGTGTCTCGGACATTCTCTTTTTATTTATAGGATAACATGCAATTACGTCTCCAATCCCTGTAATGATGTTACTCTAGTTTTATAACTTCAGAATAGGACAAATATGAGGTTAGCTTCAGCCCCCCACCTCTGGGGGGAAATGCACTCTTTCCTAGTCGGAATCCACTTTATTTTTTACCGTGTAAACCATTTAGTTTCTTTTCTTTTTCAATTAACTTAACTTAATTTTTTAATATAAATGTGTTTGTTTCTCTCAATGCTCCTTGTTTGCAGAAGACTAGTTGGCCTATTGAAGAGAAGAGTAGAGTACCCTGTAAACCGAATATTCCGCCGAATGGTAGAACGGAAACTACAGGATCAAGCCGCCATGAGAAATAGAACAGAGAACAAGGAAGGAAAAAAGGAACAAGAGAAGACAGACGGGAAAAGGTAAGATAACCCATCTTGTTCCTGCTCCCATTATTTTTGTTCTTTTAACTTTTGTCCGTATGGGGGCTAGGTTACTATTATTAAATAAAAATCTAAATGTCTTTGACTGAATATTTACTTTTTTCCTTTTTTTTGAGAAATTGTAACAAACTCAACCTTATAGCCGCATATTTTGTTGAAAAATCATTCCACCTCTTTCTCGGAAATCTTTTTTTCATAAGTTAAACTTTTGGGTAAAATAAAAGATGAAAAGATTGCATTTTGATGTCTGTCCAATTTTTCATTTTCCCTAATTATATAAGCAGTACATTTTTTTAAGTATAATTTGAGATATATCTTAATTCAACATCAGCAATTTCAACCTCACCGGTTGGGTTGGGTTCAAACATATAATTATATTTATTACCAGGCCAAAAAGGAAGTCAAAAGAGCTAAAGCTAGATGCTGAGTGGAGCATTGATCAACCCTCAGGGGAACTATGGACTAATAAGTACAAACCTAGGTAGTATTATTAATATTATTCTAACGAGCGGGGAATTTGCTTTTTTCTTTTCCGGCAGCCATAAGCCACAACCGGCAATTATTACAATTTCAAATGGTAGATTTAGTGCATTGAAATTGCGATTTTCATAAAACCAGCACCGGTATGTAAAAGATATATATTAAAATCTTCATATTTAAGTTTTATATTGTAATTATAATGATTCATTTCAATGTAAACTGCTAAACCTATTTTTGCTAAAAAATAAATTCAATATTTCCTCTGAAATAGCTTATTTTTAAAAATATTATGAACAACAAAAATGATGCACCATAACATTCTCGTAAAGTTCAAAGGGTGCCCATAACCGAAAATTTGCACCTCTTAACGAGAAAATTGCAAAATAAAACCTTTTTTGGAAATCTGTAACGCTCAAGTAATGCCAGTGAATATTGTGATTTTTCTCATCTTTTCTTATTCTTTAAACAATCTCAAACAATTTGTGTCGGTGACCAAAATGTGTAAAATGGTGTAAAATCTTCGTAAAATGTAAAGTAGTTTATCAACTGAACCCACATATTCATTGATCTTTTATAAAATTCAAAATTTCCTTAAAGGTATCATCTTTCGCGTAATGTGGCTGAATTTTTAATATCCTCAATTTTAGTACACTAACTTTATCACTTAAAAAACCTAATAATTGCCAAAAGTGTAAAATTTTCTGCCACAAAAAATGTACGGTTGTGGCGCTCCTTCCATTAATTTTTCTGTTTTAATGTAAAACAATAAAACTGCATTAAAAAATGGTTTTGAAAAGACTAAAAAAATAGGATCTTTTGCAAAAAAAAGTGTCAACCTCAGAACCTTCTGTAGAATTTAAGATTTTTAAAGTTTTTTTCTAGAAATTTAAGATTTCTAACCTAGGGTGAGACATTTAATTAGGAAATAAGAGGTCGAAGTAAAAATTTATCATGCATTCAAAAACTAGAAAAATAAAATGGTATTTTAAAATCTGTAATTTAACGAACTGGAAGTTAACCCTCCCCTACCCCCGGGTTCCCTCAAAAAAAGCACTTGACTATTCCCCTTCTTGCCAGGTGTACTGAAGATATGATCTTGAATGAAGATGAAACTTGGAAGCTAAGAAGCTGGTTGAATAGTTGGACTAAACATGGCAGTTCTAGTCAGAATAGCAGTGCTACCAGGTAATCATATACAGAGTAGCATTGCTACAAGGTGATCATATACAGAGTAGCAGTGTAACAAGGTAATCAAATACAGAGTAGCAGTGTAACAAGGTTATCATATACAGAGTAGCAGTGTAACCAGGTAGTCATATACAGAGTAGCATACCGAGTAGCAGTGCTACAAGGAAATCATATACAGAGTAGCAGTACTACAAGGTAATCAAATACAGAGTAGCAGTGTAACAAGGTTATCATATACAGAGTAGCAGTGTAACAATGAACTTATATACAGAACAGCAGTTTAGCAAGATAATCATAAGTACGAAGAAATAAAATCATTAGAAATAAATAAGATAAACATAAATATACATCATTTTAGGTTTTTAGCTCAATAAAGGTCTTAAGAGAACCGTTATTAATATGTCCTGTCTCTTGTGAATAGGTCGGCAGCAGATTATTATTATTTAAAGAGAACTTAAATCTGATTTTATTTAAATTTTATTCTGTTTATTGTGGTGATCGATTTTGAACATCAACAAACCGACCACCCAAGGTCCATAGTCAAATTAAGGTTTAAAAAACAATCCAAAAAATGCTCTTATCTTTTTTAAGGGTTATGGTACGTAGGTTTTCTTGCTTCTAACTCGTTAAATTTTTAAAAATGCTTTAAACTGTTTTCAAATTTGTATCCAGCATAAAATTTGCAAAAACTGAGGTATAACATGAAATTTTCACACACAAAAATTTAGTGATAGTGATGTGGAGGATGAGCGGATTGTTGAGAGTAGTTGTGCTCTGCTAACTGGAAGATCTGGTTGTGGGAAAACAGCTGCAGTTTATGCTCTAGCAGAGGAACTAGGTCTTCATGTACTAGAAGTTAATGCTTCAACTTGTAGAACAGGAAAGCAGGTCAGAGACTTGTTATTTTCTTTTTTTCAACATTAGCTTACATCTTCCTTAGACTAAAATATCTTTTGACTCGTCTCGACAATATGTTAAAGAATCCCCCCAGCCCCGGGAATTTTAACCGGACGGGGTGGGGGAAAGATCTTTCAGTTAAATATACCCCCCTGTCCAATGAGCAAACTCAGAAGCTATGTGTCGGCTGTAATTACTGAGAAATCAGATCCAGTTTTTTAAATAAATCTTTCTGTAAAAATCATAAGACATCTTGAGTTACTCTTTTGTTTAAACATCCAGCAAAAATGTCAGTATCCATTAATTTATAAGTGCTTTTATACTCGCATGTCTGTATGCTTTTATGCATTAATGATGGAGATATTTTTATTGGTCTTTCTTAAAATTTATTTAGCAGGTGTGGTGAATCTAGAAAGGACCAAGAAGATCATTAAGGGACCGATATTTGTCTTTAATTAAGATCCTCGTCATGAGATAGCCAGGGGTCACACAAAAATGCGCTGACAGTTCTTTTGTATAAATTGGTGTTATTGTTAAGGTGACCTCAATGCTGCTGGAAGCAACACAGTCCCAGCAGGTTCAGGCTGGTCAGTCTAGACTAAACTTCTTTAAACCAGCAGTAGCGCAGGGGACTCCTACTCCAGCTGTTACTGCACAGAACAAGAGCAAGAGGGCGCTCATTCTCTTCGAGGATATTGATATTGTCTTCGAGGAACAAGGTAAGAGCAATATTTTTAGGAAACCTCATTAAAGGGACTGTAGTTGTAATTTCAAGTGATTCTTCATTCCCTATTAACATCGGTATCCATTAAGCTTTATACGAAAATGTAGAATATATCTTTATTTTTTCACTTTGAAAAGTGTTACATTCTAATATTTATTTTCTCCCATTGCATCAGAGGCAGAAATGCCACTTGTGTGGGGAAAAAATCAATTAAAAATGAACTTTTATAGAGTAAAACATTAATATTTAAGGATACTCATGTGTATCGGCCATGCCACTCTATAAACGCAGCTTCACATTGAATTACGGCTCAGAAAATAAGACTTGCATTTGGTTGCTATTTATCTATTTATTTTTATCACATTCAGTATTAATCGTTAAAATCGAGTTTATTTTTATATTTGCAAAATAAATACCGAAAAAATTCCCGACGGTCGACGGGAATTCAATTTCTCTTAGAGTTTAATATATGTATGTTTTTGAGTGGAAAAAATAATATATTTATTTTGTAAAAATCATTTATATATATTTTGTATTTCTAGACCGTGGTTTCTACAGCGCTGTGAACAGTATAGCAGCGGCTACAAAACGTCCAATAATATTTACCTCTAGTGATGATCAATGCTTGAACTTAATCAATAAATCAATCAAATCTAGGATTCAACTTTTCAGGTAATTAAGATTTTAGAATAATTACAACCTTTGATAAATAAACCTCTTACTTTGTTCCAGATTTTATGTTTAAATGCTTATTATTTGTTTAATGGGTGTCCAGAGAGGGGGAGGGGTGATGAAGTCCTCAATGATTTATCACCGCCACCCAAGCCCATTTGGGTGGCGGTGATCATTGAGGACTTCTGCATTCCTCCCTGGTCAAGAGCAATCCTAGTTGAACCCTTATACAATATGATACCCACTATCTTTGCAACTTAAGGTTGTAAATCTATGAAATTTCCCAGGCTAAATACCTAATACCAATACCAAATCTAAGGTTTACATCATCAGGTTGCTAAGTAATAGGAATTAGAGTTTTAGCAAGAAATCGGCTGCTTTTTGAATACACGGATTTTCTCGTAAATTTCCCCGGTATATATGATGAAGTAAGAAAATTGTAATGTCTTTTTCTAGGAATAAAACCGTGGGTATTTAGAAATCTATTAATATTTATATTTCTATAAAAAGTTCTTCTAAATTTTAATGAAGATTAGGTTCATTTCTTGAAAATTTTTATATTGATATTATTATTATTAAATTATTATCTGCTATAAATGTTTAGGTTTGAAAGTGCAATGAACCCCTCTTTTGTGGCAACTCACCTTCAACTGATGTGCTTAGCTGAAGGAAATCAATACAATTGAAAACACCTTTTCGTACTTTCTTCAGGGGTATAGATTTTTCAAAAAATACCCCGCCTAAAAAAATATTTTCGATGCTCTTGGAAGACAAAAAAGTGGACATCAGCTTGCAACTTATCTGAGGAGAGAATAAAAACCCCTGTTATTCAACCTTAACCATATGTTAACAGCATTTTATTTGTCTTAAATAAACTTTAGAAATATTGATTTGACATCAGGAGTGTTTGTATCCCATAGTTCTCTTGAAGGCTTAGTTACCAGCTCCAGGAGTATTAGGGAGTGTATTAATACTACACAGTATATGGTGGAGTCAGGATATATACAGGTATATAGGAGTACTAGGGAGTGTATTAATACTACACCGTAGATGGTGTAGTCAGGATATATACAGGCATATAGGAGTATTAGGGAGTGTATACATACTACACAATATATAGTGGAGTCAGGATATATAGAGGTATATAGGAGTACTAGGGAGTATACACATACCACACAGTATATGGTTGAGTCAGGATATATACAGGTATATAGGAGTACTAGGGAGTGTATACATACTACACAGTATATGGTGAAGTCAGGATATATACAGGTATATAGGAGTATTAGGGAGTGTATTAATACTACATAGTATATGGTGAATTCAGGATATTATATAGAAGTATTAGGGAGTGTATACAAACATACTACACGGTACATGGTGGAGTACTATTTTACAGTAAATATCTACATACAGTACATTCGTAGAATATAAACAGTAAATTCAAACAAAACAAAAAAATCTTCCAACGTTTAAATTGGGAAAAATCCATGTCAGTGCATAAAAATGATTAAAATATTAATTATTAAAAGGGAAGTTTCAATTCAAGTTTTATAATTTTAGACTTGTACACAATAAAATTTGGTGCCTTCATTCACCATTCCCCATCGTACATTTTCTTGATTTAATGAATCTTTAAGGAAATATTGAAAATATTTTTTGACAGGAAATAAAATCTGAAATTGAGGATGAAGAAGAAATTGTAAAGAAGCCGAAGAAAAAGTTTACTCTGAAAAAGGTTAGTTCTTGCAACAGAATTATTTTCATATTCCACCCCCCCCCCCTTCTTTTTTTCTCCAAAAATATCTGTTATTCTACAAGTCCAGTTTCTGCGTTTAAAAATATTATTTCTTAACTAATTTAGATAATTAAGGAAACTATTGTCTAAAATAACAAACTAGCTCTAAGATAAAAAAAAAATAACATGATTTCCAATTTTTGATGAAGAGTCACTTACGATTCACAACATCGCCCTTTGCAATCGAACTGGAATGTGATATATTTTGGCTAGTTTCAGGGGGGTATAATGTTTTTTTTTTTTTTAAACTTGTTTTTTTCTCACTTTTGAAAATCATATTTTTCCGATAAGTTAGATTTGATTGCGCGGAGCGGAAAAATTGTTTTTAATTTTTTATTATTTCCTTTTTTTGGGAAAATAAATAAGGTTTTAGGTAAAAATTATGAAAATTAATATAAAAAAAAACCTTGCAAATATACATTATACAACCTTGGCTAGTTTCTGTTTGTTTACTCTAAAAGAAATTTGAATTTGAATAATTTGAACTCAATCTATTCTACTCTAGATGATTAATGATGGTCCTGAAGAAGGTTCTGAACCTCAACACCAAGACGAGGAGGAACTTTATCTAAAATTCTTTCAAACTAAATCATCAAGGTTGGCCATATTTAAAATCTTTATTTTATTATTTTTAAAATGGAGAAACAACATTGAAGTTACCGTTTTAATGAGAAGTCGCTTAATTTCAATGTCAGTCACTTAAAAAGACTTTAAAATTTAATAGTTGTTTTTTTACTATGTAATGATTAATAATAAAGAACGAAATGTGTATTGTGTAAACCCCAAGCAAATAAGAGTGCCAAAAGGTTTTTTTTTTATATTTTCCTTGTGCATTTAGTATTATTGTAAACTAAAACAATATTTAACTGATCAATCACAGTTTACTATATGACATTTGTTAACCATGAACAAATTTTAAGATCTGTCCTATACGTCTAAGATGCCTCATCCCTCCTCTTATTGTTATCACTTACTTCATCATTATTTTTATTCATATATTTATTCGTATTCGTATTCGTATTCATATTCCTATTCATAAGCTTAAGTTTAAGTTAAGTTTAAGCTTATATTTTAAGCTTAAAGCTTAATCTCATTCGTTAGTAGGGGTAATGATATTCATGAGTATGCACTAGAAGTAGATATTGGATCAGAATACTCACATCAACAGTTCATGGACTTACTGGCGGAGAAGGTTGAATACACTTTCATATCCAGGTATAGTTATTGGTTACTCCATACAGGTGTATATTTTTTATACAAATCTTTTTTCTTCTCCATAAGTTATACATAACATTTTTTTATGGTTTTATTCGCAGAATTCGGAAAATTTTATTATTTTTAGAGGAAAAACAAACAGAAAAATTTGTAAAATCATTTTACAATCCAAGTTATATAAAACTGATGAAGTATATATTTAAGGAAAGAAGTATTTCCCATGAATGATATTGATAAAGTATATATTTACGGAAAGAAGTTAACCCTTGGATGATACTGATGAAGTATATATTTAAGGAAAGAAGTATACCCCCTGGATGATACTGATGAAGTATATATTTAAGGAAAGAAGTATACCCCCTGGATGATATTGATAAAGTGTGGCGGATATGAATATCGTCTTCCTGAATATTCTAGAGAAATCCAAGGAGGAGTTTCCAGATCAGCTGATATAAAATCATGTGTTAAAGATTCAAATATTTTACTAGTCAAGTTAAGTTTTTAAATAAAGTTAATCGTTGAGTAACTCTTTTCCTTTAAACTTGTAGNCCTGTGATAGATCTTCTTAATTCTTGTTTTTAGTCTTGTTCTTTATCTTCTCTTTGATCTTGTTGTTTATATTCCTGTAATAGTCTTCTTAAGTCTTAATTTTAATCTCATTCTTTATATTCTCTTTTATCTTGTTGTTTATAATCCTGTGATAGATCTTCTTAAATCTTGTTTTTAGTCTTGTTCTTTATCTTCTCTTTGATCTTGCTGTTTATAATCCTGTGATAGATCTTCTTAAATCTTGTTTTTAGTCTTGTTCTTTATCTTCTCTTTGATCTTGCTGTTTATAATCCTGTGATAGATCTTCTTAATTCTTGTTTTTAGTCTTGTTCTTTATCTTCTCTTTGATCTTGTTGTTTATATTCCTGTAATAGTCTTCTTAAGTCTTGTTTTTAATCTCATTCTTTATCTTCTCTTTGATCTTGTTGTTTATAATCCTGTGATAGATCTTCTTAAGTCCTTGTTCTTTATCTTATCTTTGATCTTAATATTTATAATCCTGTATTAGTCTAATTAAATCTTGTTTTTAAATTTTTCTTTTTTGTCTTTGATCTTGTCTTTAACCCTGTCTTAGATATTGATCTGTTTTCAATCTTGCCAACAATGGTTTTGTTATGTTAATAAAGATAATAATGATAATCTTTCCATAGATCTTGAATTTATACCAAGTTTGTTTTATCTTGTAATTAGTCCTTGTCTTAAAGACATTGTATTCAATCCCTGTCTTAGATCTTTTCTTTAAACCAAGTCTTTGCTCTTGTTTTTAAATCCAGTCTTTGATCTTATTTTTTAACTTGATTTGTTCTTTAAAATGACGTCGATCTTGTCTTGCAAACCCAATCTTTGATGTTGTTTTCATCCCGTCTTTGATCTTGTCTTTAAACCAAGTGTTTGCTGTGTCCTTAACCCTGTCTTCTATCTTGTCTATAACTTCTGTTTTTATTAATATCTAAAATCTCCACCCTGTCTTGAATCTTGTCTTTAACTGCTGTCTTAAGTCCTGTCTTTTAATGTTTAATGTTTTTCATTTAATCTTTCGACCCTGTCTTTGCTCTTGTCTTGAATATTGTATGTTGAAGGAGAAGGAAAGACATGGATTCCTTGTCAAAGCATATCAATACTGTAGCAGAGTTTTCGCAATCAATCAATCAGTTCCAGGTTTACATTATTTTATTATTGATACACATTGTACGTTCATTGGCTGGCGAAGAGGTAAGAAAATACTAGATCAAAGATCGGAACTTGTCTTTTGTGTGGTGGAGTATCTTTAATCTTGAAAACTGGATCTCGATATCCGATTTGGGGACTCTTAAATTGATCCCCAGGGTGATGTCGGAAAGGTTCTGAGTTTAGTTAGTGAAGTTTTATGTATCTGAAGATGGAGAAAGACTAAAATAGAAAGAAATGTGCTCAATTAATGTTCATGATTTAATAGTTGAAAATAAATACCTTTGGCGTTACCCTAACCTTTTTATTCTATGTGTGTGTGGGGGGGGGATGCTGGATTTTGAAAAATTTTACTTTCTTTCTGAGTTGAAGAAATCTAGCAGTTTAAAAATTTTATTGTTCAGGATGTTAATATATTTAATATTTTATTGTTCAGGATGTTGATATATTCCATCAAATTGTTGATTATTCTTCTGAGAGTACTCAGCAATGTCTGGATATTCAGCCTCATCCTTTAGCCTCTTCTCAACCTCATCCAACCTCGCAAATACTGGTAGATAATAGCAACCTCATCCTTTAGCCTCTTCTCAACCTCATCCAACCTCGCAAATACAGGTAGATAACAGCAACCTCATCCAACCTCGCAAATACAGGTAGATAACAGCAACCACATCCATTAGCCTCTTCTCGACCTCATCCAACCTCCCAAATACAGGTAAATAACAGCAACGCTTGGGATCTAAATCTGATGGATTCGCAACATTTTGGCTTCCTGGATCCAGCCAAAAACTGCAAACTAACATATTTTGCTGTCAACCCTCAAATCTGATTTGAAGAAAAAAGAGATTTTTAAAACTTTTCTTATCTCTTAATTCCTTATCAACATTTAGCAAGAAAGAAACGCAAAATAATAGGAGAACTATAATTAAAAGGGGAAAATATTTGTTTAGAAAATCAATAAATCTTAAATGTGCCTGACCTGGATCCGGATCCATTTTTCTCCAGTGCGGATCCAGAATCNTATTACAGTGAATTTTCATTACAAATGAATCGAAACTTGAATAAATGAAAGTATACATGAATTATTACAGTGAATTATGATTATAAATGAATCGAAGCTTGAATAAATGAAAGAATTAAGTAATAAAATAAAAACTATAATGAAAGGGTTATGAAACAAAAAATTATCAAATTGATTTAAGAATAGATGAAAATAAGATCAAATGAATTAATGAATAAAGGATAGACTGAAAGAATGAATGAATTTTCAATGAATTTTTAATGAATTAATAAAAGAATAAAATCTAGGATCTGGAGAACGAAGTACTTGAACAAACTCTGACAGTACAGCTTATAGATGATACTTCAAGGATGGATGTTCTTTCAGGGCTAAGGAATATTCTCAGGTATAGGACAGGACAGGACAGGACAGGACAGGACAGGACAGGACAGGACAGGACAGGACAGGACAGGACAGGACAGGACAGGACAAACCTAAAGAGAAATTCGAAAATAGATTTATTTTAACACTAATGTTATTTAGGAGTGAGGATTGTAGAAGGTTGTTATGTAGAGAAGGAAAGCGAGGTGGAAGATTTTATCATTATCTTGCTAAATCTGGAGTTCATTTATCTAGACCTGCATCTACTGCACTTTGTAACTCATTATAACCTCCAACTAATCTGCTACCTGTATATAAACTATCTTTAACTGTAATCTAATCCAACGTATCAACAATGAACCTGCTGCTAGATCGGCAGAAACTTAGTCTATTTTAACTATTAACCTGCAAAGCGAAAACTTGAACTATAAACCTTCTCCAAATGCAACCTATGAATGTAATCCCTAAAGCATACACAGAAAAAAAACCCTAGACATTAGTTTTCAAACTTCTGAATGATTTGACCCTAAAGAGAATTTAGCTGTGCTAATTTATCCTTACTAACTGAATAATCTCTGTGTGAGAAATAATTATATATCTATAATAATTATTGTTATTGTACATAATTAAACTTGAGAATAAAGCAAAAGCTTAAGATTCAATTTAAAAAGAAGTACCTGTATGCATGTTCAAGCATTTTAGTGATAATTATGATTATTTTATACTTAACTAGCTTGGGAACCCAGAATTTAGAATTGTTAAACCAAGCTAAGAGCATTCGCGTGGTTCTACCAAATTCCCAAATTAAAATTTGAGGCAAATTGGTAAAGGAGTACGTTCCTGAATTATGATCTGACATTTATCCATACATACAAACAGAGATTACTTCTTAATAAATGTATTAACATATTTAAGCATGAGGTGGCAACTAACAAATTTCAGGGGGCTTGTCAAAATGTGAGAAAATTGTGGGTGCTTCCACTAAGGTAATTTTCAGCTATTGAAAATTGAAACATGAAGACGACTTGAATTTCTTCTTTGATCTTTTAGATGTGGCATTCATTCTTCCATTAAATTTTACATTTATGATAATTCCAAAAACAATATTCACAAAATTCCGCTAATCCTAGAATTTCCCAAATTTGGCCGTCTTTATTTGTGCTTTCAATAATTTTGGAGCTAATGAAGACATTTGTTCATATATTAATTTTCTTAAGAAACTCCAAAAATTCTCTAAATCTCTAGGAGGCTGTAATCGTAATTTCAACTGGTCCTTAATGCACAGATGTCAATTCACAATTTACAATGGTACCCTTGAAAGCTGTGTCAGATTAAAGTATGAATTAGGATATCTTTTTTTTGTTCCTTTAAACTGTTAATTTTCATTTAGGTTTCTCTGCGTATAGTTACTTGCGCATTCCTAGCTTAAAAGAAGCAATGGAGAAACTCACAGAAATAAACACATTTCAAGTCGAGAAGAACAACTTTTTTTATCAGCTTAAGGTTAAAGGGTGTGGTTTTAAATCAGGCAATTCCACCTTAGTATGCCGGGCCCCTTTACCGGAAAACTTCATATCTCCAGTAAATTACTCACTAGTAAATAGACGGACCACATTTTGAAAAAGCTGCAGGAACATGAATATTTTCCTTTACTATGTTTGAGATGGATATAATAAATAAATAAATAAATAATTATTGATTCGAGAATGCTTCTTTCGAAAGTAGGTTGACGAATAATGCCGCAAAATATTTCAAAGATTAAGGTAGGTTGTCATGTTTCATCCCTGTGCCGGAACATGAATTCCGATTTTTTAAATTAAAGAATTTTATTCAATCTGCCTTAAAGTAAAATTATATTAAAAATTGCGAAGTTTTCCCTCTTTTCGTGGATATCATTTACAGCCATCAGCTTCATATTTGTCATATATTCCCCCCTTAATCCTCTAGATTTTCAACATTTGACAGTTATTAAGGGTAACTAAATATGAAAAGTGTAAACAACTCAATAAAACTTTTTCAAAACATAAGATAAATAAAAACAGAATATCAGCAAGTTCTAGGAAATCAGATTTATGAAAATACAGCGAGTGTGAATTAACATGAAAATTTAGTTTGAATGAAATGTAGAGATGGCAAAGTATTTGTTAGAAAACGATTTTTTAAGAATTTCTTTTAGTATTTTACTGAAGAAACGTTTTTTCGAATAAACTTTTGATAACTAGTTTTTACCGAACTATTTTATTCAGATCGTTGAATAAGAAAAAGAGCAAAATCGATGGAAAATGAGCAATTAATAGGAGAACTATCAAAATAAATCTTTTTAACGATTGAATAAACGGAGCACATACAAAACGTATCAAAACAAATCTTATCAAACAACAAATCTTATCAAACAACAAAACATATCAAACTACAAAACATCAACAACAAAATATATTAAATCAAAACCTATCAATATTTATCAATTTGTATACTTATCAACTATTCAATAGTTGAAATTCTAATCTTGATTTGTAATTGAGTGGAAAAATTTAATGAGACGAGAAATTTTTATAGATTGCGAAAGTTGGATTTTTCGATGAAATATTTATAATTGTTCGAACTGGTGAACAGAAAATCCAGGAATTAAAAAAATATCGAATCAGTTTTTTTGATGTGAAAATTATTTTACTCCCAATTTGTGCAGAGTTTTTTTCACTGAGTATAAACATGGGAATTTAGTGACGACTTACATATCGTCTTTGTTCCCCACGGAAGTATCTCAGTAAATCAAATAAATGAAAAACCAGTAGTCTCTGAAATTTCAAAGTGTGGTCTACTATTTTCGCACCATCAAAATTGACGAAGGGATAACGTTTGGAGTCACCGATAAAAATCGTTGGTTGGATGATGATAATTTCTTCTTAGACTCCCCCAAAAATTGAGATCTTCAAAAATTGTTAATTGATACCTCTTTTCAGAAGAATTTGGTTCAAAACGCCAAAAATCCGAATAAAAACTCAAACAATTATGATATGTCCAATCATTGAGAATTAAAAACGTTCAAAACTTCACCACATTCATATTTATATGTGGCTTGTCTGTCTGCATCTATCCAATAAACANTCAAAACTTCACCACATTCATATTTATATGTGGCTTGTCTGTCTGCATCTATCCAATAAACATCAAAACGGTTAAACACAATTGACCCCGGAAAGGATATGGACCGTCAAAGAGAAAAACTTTCCACTATTATTTTTGAAAATGTGCCAACATAAACAGAGAAATCTGCGAAAATTTGTTAAAATTGTTTTCATGTCTCCGCAATAAAAGAACAATTTTTCTGGCATAGGTTTTGATCCGATAGATTTTAGGATACTGATAATTAATTCAGAAAAAGAAGGAAAAAAAAAATAATTTCCGGTGTAAAAGAAATTAAACATTTCAACTTCTGCTAATTGAAATACATTTCTCAATTAAAAATTTGAACGTTTTTAGGTGTTTTGTGTGTTAGTAGTTTTATTTTTGGATTTTTTGTTTCTTGAATCTTGAGGGTTTTGTTTCATTGTGAGGTTTCTTTTTTAGATAAGATAATAGGACTTGGATTTTATACCATTGAATTTGCGTATATCAAGATACGATGAATATCAAATGTTTAAACAAGCTTTCCTTTATGTAAATTTTGGTTTCATTAATATTTGTAAAAAAGTGCTTATTTGTTTAAAATAAATTTAAATGCAATTTGCGTAACCCCAGTGGATATCAGTTCGTGAAATTCATAATTAAGTAAATTTTTTTTAGATTTCATTCCTTAAAAACTTTAAAACTTCATATGTTATGTTTTATAATCAAATATATGTTTAGTCTCCTACCGGTCAGTACAGATATAACCTAAGCCAGGCGTCCCAGCTCGATAAAAAATCTACAACGGGTTCCAGTGAAAAGGATCTTTCAGTTGCATTTAGGATCCCTAGCAATAAATAGGTGTAATCTAGGACCTCTAGCAATAGATAGGTTTAATCTAGGACCCCTAGCAATAAATAAATTTTATCTAGGACCCCTAGCAATAAATAAGTTTTATCTAGGACCTCTAGCGATAAATAGATTTAATCTAGGACCCCTTGCAATAAATAGGTTTAATCTAGGACCCCTAGCAATAAATAGGTTTAATCTAGGACCCCTAGCTATACATAGGTTTAATCTAGGACCTCTAGCAATAAATAAATTTAATCTAGGACCCCTAGCAATAAATAGGTTTAATCTAGGACCTCTAGCAATAGATAGATTTAATCTAGGACCCCTAGCAATAAATAGGTTTAATCNTCGTTGTTTTCAGATTGGTTGAGTATTTGTTGAATATGATCTGTTTAATACTACGAATCTCATACAAAATCTTACATACAGGGTGTCCCACATCATATTAGACCGTCAACGGGTCTAAATTGCGATTTTCGGGACTAATAAGAAAATTTAATTATAACGAATCAATTTAAAAAATAACATAAGGCTTATATAAGAATTTTCTTGCGGAAAATGATAAGTTTTTCGAATATTAAGGGTTTATTTTGTTGTTAAAGATTAGAGATAATCTAATATGATATTGGACGCTCTGTAGGTTTAACCTAGGACCTCTAGCAATAAATAGATTTAATCTAGGACCCCTTGCAATAAATAGGTTTAATCTAGGAGCCCTTGCAATAAATAGATTTAACCTAGGACCCCTTGCAATACATAGGTTCAATCTAGGACCCCTTGCAATACATAGGTTTAATCTAGGACCCCTTGCAATAAATAGATTTAACCTAGGACCCCTAGCAAAAAAATAGGTTTAATCTAGAACCGCTTGCAATAAATAGGTTTAATCTAGAATCCCTTGGAATAAATAGGTTTAATCTAGGACACCTTGCAATAAATAGGTTTAATCAAGGATCCCTTGCAATAAATAGGTTTAATCTAGGATCCCTTGGAATAAATAGATTTAATCTAGGATCCCTTGCAATAAATAGGTGTAATCTAGGACCCCTTGGAATAAATAGGTTTAATCTAGGACCCCTTGCAATAAATAGGTTTAATCAAGGATCCCTTGCAATAGATAGGTTGAATCTAAGACCCCTTGCAATAAATAAGTTTACTAATCCCTTACAATAAATAGGTTTAATCTAGGATCCCTTTCAATAATAGGTTTAATTTATGATCCCTTGCAATAAATAGGTTTAATCTAGGACCCCTTACAATAAATAGGTTTGATCTAGGATCCCTTAGAATAAATAGATTTAATCTAGGACCCTTGTCAATAAAAGGTTTAATCAATAATTGCTATAGTTTAATAATTAGATTATGAAACTTGTTAATTAAAAACGACGGTTTTATATTACAGCTTTGCATTAAACTCAGCTTGTTTGCATCTTATTATCGGCTAAGTGGTTTTTTATATATTTCTCTCCAGGTCAAAATTTAGCATAGCGAAGAAAACCAAATGTTTAGAAAACAACAGTTTTAAAACATTTGCTTTCCTTACAGGAGAGAAAAAATGCAAAAAACCTAACCCGAAAACCGCCAACTTGATGCAAGCCTGGCTTAAAAGCAAAGCTGGGAATTGAAAATCCGCCAAACCATGTTAGGCCTGGGTTGCCCTGATTAGATTGAAAAGAAGAAAGAAACCCCAAAGAATCCGATATATATAAAACTTCAGATTTCCTGCCCTCCTTCAGAATGTCGCTTAGCAGACGAAGTTCAGTTCATAGCTCCATGTTCACTGATCTTCTAACTAAAGAAGAAATGGTAAGACCATTAACAGAAAGCAAATTTATCTGGATATGTACAGGGTGTCCCACGAAATATGACAGTTGGTGAAAAGTTTAAAATGTCTTCTTCCATAGTTTGTTAAGTTGTTTGAACCCTAAGAGAATGATATAAAAAAAATTCATGACAGCCATATTATAGTAAAATTGATTTCAAAGTAAAATATATTTCAGTAATAACTATTTTTAACCCTACTGGTTGAAGGGAGGCGAGGTATAAAGTATTTGAGCCAAAAACTTTTTTTCGCTTAAATCATTTTCGCGAAAAAGTTTGCGAAATGCGAACAAAAAGTTTTAATTTTCCGGAAACTGTAAACTGTAAAATTGCTGCGTCTCATGTTCATTGGACTATTTAAAGTCAAACTTGAGTTCAAAAGCCGACTTCCTATTCCAGAGTTTTCTGGTTATCACTGTACAAAATTTCTGTTTCAGGGTAGACTTGGATTGGATCAGGATCAGGAATATTATTGAACTCATTTTGTTTATTGATGACTTTTACAAGGAAATTTTTTTTAAATGTTTTGGATTCTTCGTTTGTCTGTTTACTTTGTCAGAATCATAGATTAATAACAACACAGAAAGTAAACTAGCTGTCGTCTTTTCAAGATTTATGGGTTGTTCGTTCACAACAACCGTGAGGCAGACGCCCAGAGGAGTTACGCGCATTCTGCGTAGAATTACAATACAGAGAGAGGGCAGAATTATAATTCAGAGAGTGTTTTATATGTGTTGTTATAGATCTATGGCCAGAATAATATATCAAGTTTCTGTTACGTCTGTGGAAAGGGCAAAGGAGAAGGAAAACTAGCATTTAAATATGCAGGATCAGTTTCTTCTTTAACAAAAAGATAAACACAATTTTCATACTTTAATGCTTTTTTAATTAGTTCTTAATAAACATGGGAATAAAGAGACGAAGTATGAATCGTCTTTGGTTTCCTTCAGTTGATGTATGGCCTTAAATGTACAATAATGGACTGTGATAAAGGTTGTTGTACTAAAAAGATGTTTTGATGGGTTTGCTGATGATTGTGGAGCTATTCCTGTCGATCATGTTGGAAACATCCTAGCTATCATGGGCATGAAGGTAGAAGAATAGTTGATTAGTAGCACTCTCCACTGAATGATACTATGTCTTCGGTCAGTGCAAATAGATATAAGTACAATAGATGGCAACGTAGAATGTTTACACTCTCAGTACAGCTGTATTCAAGCTGTATTCTGTATTCAAGTGTCAACAGTTTTATGTGTCCGTCAAAATTATTAATAATAGTGAAGATTTTAGATTAAAGTACTTCTCTTCCAGTAAAATAAGTGCAATTTTATGTTCTTTATTTTCTGTTTTTACACTTTTTTATANGACTAGTAGACTAGTAGACTAGTAGACTAGTAGACATGTAGATTAAGTGTAGACTGTAGACCAACTATAATCAAACACGTTTTCTAGGTGAAACCGTCTGCCTTAAAAGAGATCATTGAAGAAATAGATGAAGACGGTAGGATCATATCTGGAGCTATTTTCATTGCTAATACAATGAACCACACCACACAGTTGTGTCGTTTCTAGGGCAAAATTTTTCCCGCGTCAACGGCAAAATATAAGTCCAAATTGTTTTTGGACCCACGAACATCATTTTTATTCTAAAATCAATTTTAAATAAGATATTTTTAGAGATATTTTCATTTTTAATTTACCATTTAAATAACAATACAAGGTCTTCAATTTCATTACGCATTCTCATCCGTGTTTGTTGGTTCAAATATGAAATCTACAATTAAATCCGAAAAAATACTTATTTGACAAACTATCTAGAATCCACGAAAACCCATTTTCAATGAATTTAAGTCTTTTGAGTACAAGCATTTATATAGGGTGACATCAAATAGATTGTTAAGTACAATAGATGGCAACGTGGTATTTGTACACTCTCAGTACAGCTGTATTCTTACATCACAAGTGTCAATTCAGTTTTTGTGTCCGACAAAATTATTAATAATAGTTTTAGAATAAAGAGCTTATCTTACAGTGAAGAAGGTGCAATTTTTCTGTTATTAATTTTCTGTTTTTACATTTTTTTATTTAATCTTAAAAAAACATGTCAAATGATATGAGAAAATTTCGTTTTCCTTGTTATATTTGACACTTGTGACGTCGTGTATAGTTAATCCATTTCTCTGTTGCCACTTATTGTACTTGATAATCTATTTGGGGTGACATGAGTAAAAAAAAATCAGAATTAGCGTTGTTTAACAAAATAATGATTTTATTTTTGGATCATTCATGTTTTTATGTTAAAAGATAGATATTGAAATTTATATTTCTACTGCTTACGAATCCACCATGTTATGAATATTTAATAACAAATACTCCTTTAATACAAATTTCGTTCTTTCTAATTTGAATTTTGTTCACTTTTTTTTATAAAAATTGTTCAACCTAATCCATGAACTCTGTATTTTGTAAAAAATGTATAATTTGTTTTGATCTTGCTAGGATCTGGGGTACTTGAGTTTTATAAAAATTGTTCAACCTAATCCATGAACTCTGTATTTTGTGTTTTTATCTTGCTAGGATCTGGGGTACTTGAGTTTGGTGAGTTCTGCCAACTAGCAGCCAGGTTCCTGGTGGAGGAAGACGAGGAGGCCCTCAGGGGGGTCATTCAATCATTCATTCATTCATTCATCATTTTACTTATACTAATTCACTCCTTCATTCATCCATTTGTTGATTGGCATATTCATTTATTCATTACTTTATAAAAAACAGTTTTTTATTATGCAACAATATTAACGGAATCCAGCTGATATTATTCATGTTTGAACCAGCTCTTTACAATGGAATGTCACTTACTCGCAGAAAAATTAGAACTGATGGAAATTTAAATCCCCCGGGATTTAATTTCATTTGATTCTAATTTTTCTAAGAGTAAATGATACATTATTCATTTGTTTATTTATTTATCTACTCCTTCCTGTATTTATAAGTTAATTTCTCCAATCTGTTTCTTCTTTTTTTCATTTACTTATTCTTCTTTCCACCTTAAAATAATATATATTCTTAAAATGAATTTAGCTTAAGAAGGTTTGAATTTGAATGTATTCAGGAAGGAACTGAAAGAAGCATTCAGAATATACGACAAAGAGAAAAATGGGTTTGTTACAATATTAAATTGTTCAAAAACTCCCTTCAAATAATTTTGTATTCCCTAGATATATCTCAATCCAAACATTGAAGGAGATACTCAGAGAATTGGACAGGTTTAAGTATTTTTAAAATATTTTTATAAGATTAGCAAACTTTGTTTTTTCTCGAAGAAAGATTTATGAGGAAATCCAGACCAGCGCCATTTCCTTTCCCTTTATTCCTATTCCCTGTGCTATGGAACAACGCGCATAAACCGAGCCGGTACAACATGTACTGTGTATGCATTCAGTCTTACTGTTTAGTCTGGTGTACCCAGTGTAAAGGCAACCCAGCACGTTTAATGCAACATGGGCATGGCAAGATAACAGTCATTGTAAAAAAAATATTTTGTGTTGGTAGTGCATGTGCTTTTATACTAGCCCAGAAACTTTTTTATAATTTGTTATTACTTTTTTAATTAATTTGGCCGCTGGGCGCTGGGCAGTATTGATAGATTTTTAATTATTGAAATGTACAAGGTCAAAACCACGATAATGGTTCCATAGGAGAAAAAAAACTTCATCGCACAATGTTTTTCCCATCATTTTTAGAAAAATTCTGATCTATGTTTTTTGATTACAAAATTTTTTTAAAATATTTTTTAGGGTATTTTTAAAGGTTTTCTTATAGGTTACCTGATATCATTGAAAAAATGGTTAAAAATACTATTTTTTTAGATCATAAGTTTCATACACGTAGACCTTTTCTTTTGATTACATCTTTTTCCTGTGACAAGATAATATTTATATGTAAAAAAATGTAAAGAACATTTGTTTCAAAATTGTTAAATAAGCCTTAAAACACAAAAGTGTAATAACTTTTTGATGCCATGACCCTAAAAAAAAATGATGCCATTTATTTTGTTTGCTACAATGGCGGGGAAAAATTTGAGCCCGGAGAACTACATCGAAATAGTACACATAGATCCAGACTGCTATGAAAGATTTCATCAGTTTTTAAGACTGAGTCAATGTTGCAACACCTTAGACTTTGAATTTAGGTCGCTAACTCATTTATATTTATTTGTAGTCCTAGTCATGTATATTTCAAACTTCTACGCACTTGTTTTAGCTTTATCACTTAAGAAGTAATTGGCAAAACTAGAATTTTGCGTAAGGGCTTGCAACCTGTGTGGATCACTGTGAATATCAGTTTTATATTTATAAATATAATCGTATGGGGAAAGTATCCTTCCAACCCCCCTAAAAAGTCATATTAAAAATGTCTGTCATACATAATATCTTCAGAATTGTGTCTATCCTTAAAATTCTTAAATCCTACATTAGATCCTAATAATTTTTACGTTTTGTTTTAAGACTTAAATGGAAAAGTTTGCGACCTTTCTAACATACTTTCATCGTGTTTAATCAAAATTTGGGCTCATATATGCCATTCCAGTCCAACTGAACATTCCGTAAAATGTGTTTCTTGACAGTTGTTCTAACAAATTTCTTGCACACTTTAGCTAAGATAAGATATGATTGTTGCACTTTTTTTGTAGAAAAGTTATGGACATGACATGACATTTTTAAAGTTTTAAAGTTTTGATTACTTGAAATTATCAATACAATAAGACAAATCATTTTGTCGGTTAATTATAGCTAATATTTCCGAAAGTTTATGAAAACTGCAATCGATATCAAGAATTTAAAAAATTCAATTCATTCCTAGTTCCAGGTGTTTAAGAGGCAATTTTTGTCTTTACCATTAAAATCAAGCGCCACATTTTCAGGAATTAGACGTAATTGGACCTAATCAAATATCGTACGCAAAAGGTCTATCCCTTCTACGTGGTTTTGACCATTTACTTTCTGATTCTTCTTGATTCCAACGACGAAAATTTTCGAATAAATGCGCGAAATTCACCACTAATAGACTTAGTGTTAAGTACCCTGCCTCATAAACCTCTTTGGGCGATAAAATAGATTTAGTTGTTAAAGTGATACATAACTTGTAAATTAGATTATTATTTGAATTTTTCAAAAGGTAAACCACTCCTTTTAAGTACAATAGTTAGTATACTCTTTTTAAAAAATAATTTATCAATAATTTATAATTCTTGAAAGATGGCAAGTAATAATTGTTTTGAATATTTATGAAACTAATTGTATCTGTTACTTTCAGAAAAATTCAAATTTAAATTTAAATCCCATGGTGGTGTAAAGATTATAATCTTTCTGAGAGTAAATGAGACAATGTGAGCTAAAGGCCTCTATGGAAAATCAAATGCGCGATTTCTCAAGGGGGGGGGGAGGGTTTATCCCTGGGTGAATATCAAGAGGATTTCCCCGGGGAGGTCGGAGCCTAGGTTATCGTTCCGGGACGTCTATAAGTTCATCAAAATTCGATTTCCCCACTGACTTAGTCGACAATGATCCAATACAGATTTATTTCCAACCTAAAAATAATTACATTTAAATAATGAAATATTTTTATAAATCTTTGACATATATGGTTATAAATAATAATGGGTTTTAAAATATCTTACTAGCACAAGTAGATTAAATAATCAGGAATAAAACATAAACTTCTGAAAATAAATATCCGTTTGGTTACAAATCTTTGTTGTTCATTACAAAAATCACGAATTCTAAGCTTTTATTATTTTTTGAAACGTGTTCATTGCACTAGTTGTATATATTTGTCGGAGTCTAAGAAAGATTAGGTTTGGGTTTACTGGAGAACAGTTTTGATCAAAGACGACCTTACAACGGAGTAAGATATGGAGGTTAATGGTTTACAGACATGTTGTTGTCAAGAGCCATGGACCTTCATAAGTTTTTAGTTTAGCGAAAAATATTGAAAATTGTTGTATATTAAAATACCAGCTTTATAATGATCGTTTAAGGGACTGTAAGCGTAATTTCAAATGACCTTTCATTTATAGAGTGTCATGTCCGATTTACAATCATACAACGATATCCTTTAAACCTTTGTTTGATCAAGGGTTTCGTAGATATTCTTATTTATTATATAACGGGAAAATTGAAACCGTGCGAGTGTACACTAGCACAGAGTGTAAACTATACAGTGTACACTGTAAAACCCTGGCACTCAATGTTCAACTATACAAATGAGTTTTATCTACCTTATCGTTGTCCGGACAAAGGTTTAAAGGGTACTGTTGTGAATCGGACATGCCTCCCTATAAATGGAAGGTCACTTGAATTTACGCTTACAGTCCCTTTAATGAATGTTAATGCATGTTTAGTAAGCTAACTGAAGATGATTTGAACAGTATAATCGAAGAGGTAGACGGGGACGGAAGTGGGACTCTGGACTTTGATGGTAATTTTTTAATCAATCAATCATTAAACCAATCAATTAATACATGAACCACTTAGTTAATACATGAAACAATTGATTAATAAATGCACCAAATGAATAATATATGAAAAAATTGAATAATACATAAACCATTTGATTAATACATGAAACATTTGATTAATGCATGAACCCATTGATTTAGACATAAACTGCAGTTGATTAAAACATGCACCAGTTGATTAATACATGAAAGTTTTGAAGTCAAGTCCCAACGAAGGTTAATGGATGATCAAAATCCATAAACATTTTTTTTATAAAATCTGCCAACTTTTTTTTACAATGTATACAAAAAGAAAATGTTGCCAATTGAAAAAGAAGATAAAATCCTAGTTTATCTAAAATTGTCTGAAGAAAATGCATAATCTTAAATACAGATATTCTAAAACTATCGCAGAATAAAAAGAGTTTAAAGGGAGTGACCGGCTATGTAAGATAGTTGAACTGAGTATGCACTGTTGTGGAAAACTTCTTTTGGATTCATTTGAGACATATTAAACTTTTTAAAGATCTGTAATTCCTGAGTTTGAGCGCAAATTCGACGTTCAAAACTCCTACTTTTGGGGTTGATACGTTTTCAGAATTAGTTTTTTGAAATTATTAAATAACGACGACATAAAATGTAAAAAAGTTCTACAATAAACTACTGACGTCATGTATAGGAACATGTTGAGAATGTAAAAATTAATCTTATCATCGAAAATAATTAACATTGTTCAATTTATTAGTTTCTATTTTTTTATTGTTCTGGTTTCTCATTATTCCCAAAGATTTTTGCAGATTTTCTAGAATTGTTATTGAAAAGACGACATTTGAAGAATTTGAAGAAATCTGCGAATAAATTCAAATAAGATAAGAAATTCAATATTATAATGAAAACGAAGTAATCTAATCAGATTACTGTATAATTTTTACTTCATTTATCGTTGTCGTTATTTATTAATTAAAAAAATTCAACTACCTTACATAGCCAGTCACTCCCTTTAATAATTAATATCCGCTTTTGTCAGAACTCCCGCGCTCATTTGTTGTAAATCTCAATTCTAAAATAGTTTGCAAAATTTATATTAGTCATGGCGGGTTTTATAAGAGAGATGTAATTGCAAATTATAAACCAGCGATTTGTCTTGAATTCACAAGTTCAAAATGTTGCCGCGATATTTTATGCTTTTTGTCAGAAATAGAAATGGCAACATTTTGGAACTATAGTTTCATCTGGTGAAGGTTTATGATTAGAGATGGACATCGGTTTTTTGAACGAACGAAAATTTTGAGAAAAGGTAATTGTTCAAAAAAACGAACGATGGACGAACGAAATGAAAAATTATCGTTTTTAAAAAACGAACAGCTTTTTTTAAAAAAACGATAGTTTTTTACTGAAATGAACGATTTATAAGAACAAAATTTTTCCTATATTTTTCTTTTTCTATACATAGTAGTATATACTTTGCTTGTCTGGGTGTTTGTTTGTTTGTATCCAATAAACGTCAAAACGGCTGAACTGATCGGTCCAAATTTTGTATGGGTCCTCACGAGACCCAAGGGAAGGTTTATAGACAATCAATATTTCAAAAATTTGCCTTCAACATATTTTTTTTATAAAATCCGAGAACTTTTTTATTTTTTGTTTTACAATGAAGAGAAAATCTTTACAGTTGAAACTAAAGATGGGCGCGAAGCACCCTGAAAGCCTAGTTTTTACATATGTTTCTATATTTTTCCATATTTTTCTATATTTTTCTATATTTTTCTATATATACTCCCCTTCAGAAAATTAGAAACATTTTAATGTTATAAAATTTTTATTTCTATTTAAAGGAGACCAATTACCCCCAACATTTAAAAAAGATTTCATATTATCAAAAAATATCAAAACGCAAATCTTAGAAACAGAAATTTATTAAAATTTACTGCTACCTCCTCACAATTTCCCTAAAATATGGTATGAAAATAAACGACACTTTTCTAAGCTTTCAAATATTAATCTTATTTCGAATTTTAAACAGAATTCAATTGAAGATTTTTATCAGCAAAACAAATGTATTTATTATAACACAGGCTATGTTTGCAAAAGAATCGAAGAAAGCAAAAACGATTTTACAAAGAAAAGACTATAAAAAGATTAAAAAGAGTAAAAGGTATAATCAAACACAAAGGATGTCAAAAATTGGCGCGAATTAAAAAGATGCTTTAAAATGTCCGTAAAAATGCTTAAAAATTGCATAGAACGTATATCTTTTTCAAAACCAATAAAGCTTATTTTAATTTTTTTAACATTACAAATAAATCTATCATTTTTATTAATAAAAATTGTTAGTACACCGTCGAAAATTTCAGATAATCCTCCACCAGTTTATGTGAAATATAATGTAAACAATAAATATGTAACATTCCTTTTCCTTTGATTTCTATTTTTTTAGAATTGTGGAAAAATATTCCCACAACCTCTATTTTTGGAGAGTACTGAACTGTATTGTATTGAACTGTAATGAACTGTATTGTACTGTACTGTTGTATTATAATGTGTTGTACTGGTCTATACCTTACTGTACCGTGGTGTACTGTGAGTCTGTGACGTGTATTAGAAAAGCAATGGATCATATTCCTTAACTCAATAACAAAGTTAAGAAGGAGAGAGACGAGCCTGTTTAGTAACTGTTGTTATAATACTAATTCTCATTACGTCACAATAAAATTGTAAACAAACCGTGTTGCCCTCTTCTAAGTTATATTTCTCCTTGCTCCTGCTCCTGCCCCTCCCTGGAAATCTTTTTTTTCACAGTAAGACTAAAGGAAAGCCAAACCCTCCTTAAAATTTGTCTTGTCCCCAACCTTTGACCTTAATTTCTTAAATTTAAATATTCCTTTAAAGCAATACAGAAAGTACTGCTTATATGCAGAGAACTTTGATTTTAGAATATAAAAGAAAGTGAAAACGTATGTTCACAGACTAGATATATACAGAAGTTGCTATTCAGCTTTCACGGACTGGGCTAAGTAGGCATTCTGTATTCTTACAAAAAGGTTTTTGACTGCCAGAGGGGTTAAGTTTTACATTTTTTAAAGAAATACTCTTACTTTTAACATTAAACATTAAATTTATGAATTTAGTCTATTTTTCAGGGTTTTGTATTTCGTATCCAAAGTAACTTTAAATATTCCTGAATATAGACGTCTGCTTATTTGTTGTGTTCTCCAGTTGTACACATTGGAACCAGAGACGCAGAAGGCCCCCCCCCCCCCGCCATTAGATTAATGAAACCTATGTATTTCAAGGGGTTTTCAAGCCCAAACGGGTGCTGAGCCCCATCCCCTAGAAAAAAACCTGACTAAGCCCCTGAATCGAACTGGTTGTAAAAAATATCGCATATTCTAGCCATTAATAGATATCTTTCTGTACTTGCTTATCTCGCATAAGAATTGTTCTAAAAGGAATTTTAGAGCACAAATGTAAGTGAAGTACATGTGTAGTACGGAAACAGTAAAACAAAATGGGGGTTTTACATTTTTTCGACATAATTTCACTCTAAGTAATATTCTCTCTACTCTCTGGTTTTACATTTCTCCCTGACAAAATGGAAATAAATGGTTATTGAAATCTAGACTTAAAAATTGATTTTATTTTTTTTAGAATTCATGGAGATGATGACAGGATAAACTTACAGCCTTGGAATATTGTGAACATCGTCTACTTAATACTTTAACTTCGACATCTTGAACATTCATTTTGAGATAATGTTCAACTTTGTGAACACTTTCTTCAAACTATTCATCATTTGGGAAAATCCTGTTGCTCGGATCATCATGGGTAACATTGGGAAAGTTATGTTCGACATTATGAACATCATGTTCGTTATTGGGAACATTATGTTCCAGATCGTGAATAGAATGTACCAACTTCGTTCACACTTTGCTACATTTATAAACCATATTAAGCATGTAAAAATCCACCAAATGCAAATATATTACTTACTTAAATTTAAAAAATTAAAAAATATTTTGTGAAGTATATAACTATATATCTACTTGTCATTAATTAGATTTTTGCGAAATCAATCATTGTGATTTTCAATGACTCGAATTTTTGTTTTTAAATTTCTTGTCTGGATTTCATTGAATAAATGTAAATGATTTTTATAAAAAAAAAATTAAAAAAATTTTACCGAAATATTTGTAAACTTTTAGAAAACTTTGATTTAAAATCTGTGCAAGAATACTAACAAATTCCTTTGTAATAAGTTCCACAAATTAACAAAAAGTGTAAACATGGTTTAAATCAGAATAACAATCTTTAGCATCAATAAACTTCATCTTAAAAATTGCTAAACGGCCATATTTTTGCTTGTTTTAGAAGCCATAGAGAAGCTATGTAAGTAGCTTTCTTATACGCGACGCTGTAATATTAACGGGAGTTTTTTTGAAAAATAAGTTTAGGTGACGTGAATATACGAAATCAATTCGGGTTTAAGAAATGGCCAATTTTATTCTTCGTGAATACTCCCTTTAAGAGAAACTAAGTTGGTGTTATATTCGTTATATCCTTCGGGTTCAAAGAACACCATTATTACAATAAACTTCGGATTTATGAGGCATTAAAATTACGTTTCAATCAGTTTCCTTCAGTAAAAATTAATCCGACAACTTTCTCAATTTCAATTTCTCCCATCCCCTAAGAATATTTGTACGTCCATAGTTAACCCCATCACTATNTTTGCAATCTCCTAGCCGGATTTGCAATCTCCTAGCCGGATTTGCAATCTCCTAGCCGGATTTGCAATCTCCTAGCCGGATTTGCAATCTCCTAGCCGGATTTGCAATCTCCTAGCCGGATTTGCAATCTCCTAGCCGGATTTGCAATCTCCTAGCCGGATTTGCAATCTCCTAGCCGGATTTGCAATCTCCTAGCCGGATTTGCAATCTCCTAGCCGGATTTGCAATCTCTTTGCCGGATTTGCAATCTCCTAGCCGAATTTTCAATCTCCTAGCCGAATATGCAATCTCCTACCCGGATTTGCAATCTCCTAGCCGGATATACAATCTCCTAGCCGGATATGGAATCGGCATTTTAAATGAAAAGAAATATTTTCAGAAATCACCCCCCGAATACTGTAGTATGCAAGTTGACCTTTGAAAGTGGAGTACATGGCCTTTACAATTAGTAAAGGATTAGCGTACATAATCACTCTAAATGCTATAACTTCGTTGATTAACCCACAGGGCTAAAATAAATATATTTAAAAAGACCCTCAAAAATGGATGGAACACCAAGAGTCACATGTTAATATTTGACCAAAAGTAAAAATATTCATTTTTGACCACTTTTCCAACGTACTTTTTGAACTTTTTTAAAAAATCCTCCCTTGCCATCTAACCATTAAAGATAGAGGTAAAATTTTCTTTGAAATAAGCAGGCCTTGAAAAGTTGGATTAGGGACATTCACATGTATCACACTCCCCCATCTCAACTCTAAGGGCAAAATCATATTAGACAAAATAGCCCAATCTGGATAAGAGGGTTATACAGATTTTGTCTGAGCTCTAATAATGCTGTGTGCGTGCATGGTGAACTGTTGAATCTATATTATGGAGTGCCCGCGCATCATCGGGTTGAGAGCATACGACGGACGCACCTTCTTAGAAAAACGCACTTATTATTTTTCTATCTTTTTGCGTATCTATCTGAAATCTAAAATCCTTAGGAGCATCTTCTTTAGTTGGATTTAAGCTCTACAAGATGGAGGTACAGACCAGAGGGCTGGGGGGGGGGGATATGAACATTAATAGTAATGCTACTTAAATCAAAATTTGTTTAAAAGACTTTAAAGAGACTCATTTTTAAATTCTACAGCTGAACTCAATTAAATCCAGAGAAGATAAGTTTGATGCAATCGTCATGTTGATAGGGCTGAACTAGTTTTATGAAGAACCATTACATTGGAGCAACTAGGTCGTAAACTCCTGCCCAGTAATTCTGCAAAAGATGAGTTTTCCGTGTGTCATTGTTGATGACAAACTGCGCTATGCTAACGCCTCTTTTTCTAATAAAAAACCTAGTTTAAGTTTTGTTTTTTTAATTAGTTTTTTTTTTGTAATGCAAATTCGCGTCAAACATAAAATTACGAGGATTTTTTTATGGATTTTTAAAAAGTTTTATTTTTTTCTTGACAAAATTCTTCAATATCGAACGGCTATATACAGGGGCGGATACAGGATTATATAAGTGAGGGGGGTGCTAGATTTATTTCGTAACAAAAACATCCAGATTTAGAAAATTCTTTTTAAGATAGATATTTTTCCTGTTTTGCACTAGGTTTTCTTTTCCTTAAGTGCTATTGAGGAGCTATTCTGAAATATCAGGGGGGGTGCGAAGGTCCTGCCGCCCCCTGTATCCGCCCCTGGCTTTATAGCTTTCCTTTTGGTCCTATGAGATATCATACAAATAAAGCCCGATCAGTTTATTGAATAATTTATCAAAATTTACCGATTTTTCTGTTAAAATTCTTTAAAATTTTTTTTTAATTGTCGAGAGAAGACATTTTTTTCTGGAGTCATGTGACATTTATGACATACTGCGATGCTAAATGCAACAGCAGCCGCTATTGAGCTTTTAAACGTACTTTTATTTTGACACTGATGAAGCCACTCCTTTATCATTTTATTTTTCAAAATCATTTTCTAATTTCAAACTTTACACAGTGATCCAAAATGTGCACGCTCTGAGTCATGATGACTCACAAATTAGTCGGTGAATTCAAATTCTAATTATAAACTGTAGGTTTAAATCTTTATTTTCATCTTTATCTCTCAAACTTTCGTTTTTACCTTCAGCAACTCAATATCCTCCGTGTAAACTTTTGAGCTATAAGATTGAACTCTTTTCTCAGCAAATGGCCCATTAACAGAGGCGCAACTAGGACTTTTGCTAGGGGGGGGTCCCCCCCTCTCAGGTGCTAGGGGAGGGCGCGCGCCCGGCCGCCCCCCCCTAGTTGCGCCTATGCCCATTAATGAAAATGCTAGAGACCTAAACCCAACATTGTAGCAGTGAATTTCTAAAGTTGAATGTATAAGTTATTTAAACAGAAATATAAAATCAAGAAACATGCTAAATCTAAAATGTACATTTGTCCTAAATGTATTAGTTAGTTAATAAGATTAAAACCAATGTCAAGTTGTTTCGACACTTGGTGCCAGGGGCGCAACTTGGACTTTTGTAAGAGGGGGGTAGGGGGCCTTACAGGTGTCAAATTTGGGTAAAAGACGGTCCACGATCATGAGAATGAGGAGAGGGGGCGAAATAGTTGCGACACTTGGTGCGCAATTGTTATATCCTGGATCTCTGTGATTACGTAACAACTCTTTGTGAAAATGTTGAATTTTGTTTTTAAATTAACGAAACTTCAAAAATATATTTGATGTATTTGAAGGAACAATTTTCTATTTCCTCTAAAATCTAAACGTTTCAAATTCATCAAAATACTTTTTGGGCCGAAGCAACTTTTTTCATATTGTTGATCGATAAAAAAATCCGTGATGAAAATTTTAATTTACTCAATCACATTTCAACTTTTTTTAGCCAAAATCCAAACCTTTGCCCCTTTGGACATATCAGGTCCGACTCTAAGTTTTAAAATTTAGATGTATAGTAAGATGATCTCACCCAAAAATGTTCACCTTTCAAAAAATAGGTTTTCAATTTTATTTGGCAAAATGCAATACAATGCGGCATTTCAATTAGGGTTTCCAGTGAACAAAAAACTTTCGCGAAAAAGTACGAAAATTGTTTTCGCGAAATTTCGCGGAAAAACAAATTCCGCGAAAACTATTAGCATTTTAGTTGCAACAATTAATTGCGAAATAAAACTTATGGAATTCTCTGCTTACAGAGTTGAGCAAGAAAAATTTTATTATATCATAATTAATAATTTCTCTTCCGTATTTTTTCGCAACATTTTAGCATTTCCCCCCCCCCGAAATTTTTGTCTTAAAACATTTTTAAAAAGTGAATATTTGCAAATTATCTTTTCTCCCTCTCATGATCTGAGTCCGTTTCCGTTTTGTCCATTTGACAGCCCAATTTGTTTAGGTAATCATTTTGTTTGTTTACTTTCTTGTGGTTTTTAACAATTTTTTTTTATCGATTTTGATGGTTATTATATTGTAGAACTGACGAGGGTCAACCTAAACAGAAATATATTTTCAATAAATGTGGAACTAACATCTACTTTTTATACTCTACAGAGGTTTGGTCCATCACCGAATTTTAAAAGCATTTTTTTGCGAAATTTTCGCATTTTTCTCGAGCGAACTTAATGCGAAAAATGCGAAATTGACGAAACGATTTACCCTTTTTGTTGGAAACCCTATAAATTGCAATAAAACATGTGCATCTTTATTAATCGTACGCTGCCCCTTTATTAAAGAAAGATAAAATCTAAAATCTAAAATGCATGACACAAAGTTGAAGAGTTCTTGAGATTGTAAAGTATTCAAGAAACGTATTTGCAAACTTGCAAAACAAAATAGCATGTTCATAGTAATTACTGCAAAAAATTACAAACTTCAGCTAAAATGCAAACCAAGTGAGAAGGAAGATGAATAAAAACATAAAGGGACTGTGTCAGAAAATTTAGAGATTCTTCTTTTTTTAAATTTAAATAAAAATGCTATATTTCGGAATTCCCTTAAAAATAGTATTCATTATTTGAAACAATTTCTTTTGTTCTTTTTTCCCAGCAAAATTAGCAAGAAACCCTTGGCAACTTTCCGGAGAATGATTATACACACATATACATTTTACAATGGTGTCCTTAATTTTTAATGCTACAATTTATTTATCAAGAAAGAGCTAAAAAATCAAGATGTAAGAATATAATTTTAAATTTGCATATTTTTGACTTTCAACATAGTGAATTGCAACATGTGCTGCGAATACTGATGAGGTGTTTGCGAATTCTTCCTTTAGCAATCATAAAGTTGACATTTGCATCTTCTGTGCAATTTTAAATGTTTGTACAGTGAGACCCATAAAAGTGTTGTCTAGAAAAACGACATTTATGTTTATAACTTGTGTAATGTTTACCCTGGACTATTCAAATTATAACTTGAAGCAACTGTAAGCGTAATAAAATCAAATAGTGTCTATAGAGAGGGACCGTTCCTTTCCGCTCAAATTCTGAACGAAAAATCGGCTTTTTCTCCGGCCACAGTTGTCTTTGAAAAGTAAGACTATTACCAACCAACAGCAAATAGGCTGTTTAGTTTGGCCTGAAATTACCCAAAAAAGTGAACGGTCCCTTTAAAGATGATTTCTGTACTGCAGGAAAACATAATTGAATTATGAGAATTAAACACTTCTAAGTCTAGAAAAAAAAACGACAATACGTCCATATTATTGATCAGATAGGGAGGGTTGGCTGCTCCCAGGGTTTTGGAGTTGCTCCCTGCAGGGTTTTGGAGTTGCTCCCTGCAGGGTTTTGGAGTAAATTGTGAAAACTTATCCGACCTTTTATGAAAAGTCCTTTAAAAAGTGTACTTTAAAACCGAAAATTGAAAAAATGGCTCTGCTACCCCCTTTTTTACAGTCTTTGTTCAGATATTTGCAGGAAAAAATCGCAAATTTCAGTCCAAGTAGCCTGTTGCAATCAAAAAGTTTTGATTAGCCAAACTGACGACTTTTGTTTTAGCTTTTACATTGAAGATTATCGGTAAATGTAGAAAAAAAATCCTTTTTTTAGCTAGATACATAAAGGTTTCATTTGAGCTGGTCTTTATCAGTTATCTTATTTCAAAGTTTTTTTTAGAGAAATTCTATTTTTCGCCTAAAAAATCTTTAATTGATTGGTGCCATTAAAAAATGCAATTTTAGTCAACAGTCTTAACAAAGACTGTAAAAAAGGGGAAGCAGAGCTATTTTTTTAATTTTCGTTTTTTAAGTACCCTTTTTAAAGGACTTTTCATAAAAGGTCGGATGAACTTTCACATTTTACTCCAAAACCCTGGGAGCGATTCCAAAACCCTGGGAGCAGCCACCTTTCCCTCGATCAGATAAGGTTTTAAGAGTACCGTTGTGAATCGGGCATTATACCGTCTTTGTGTGCGGAATGTCTGAAAGGACCTCATGACTACATATACTCCAGAATTTGTTTTACAACCATGATTATCAAAAGCCAATAGAAAATAGGAAATGAAATTTCGTTTGAAGCTAGTCTATAAATATATTTCAAACTGAAATAAAATAAACTTTTATCTAATAAACATATATACAGGGTTCCTCGCATAGTATCAGACTTCAGAGACAAAGTCTTTTTACCTTTATTTATGATTCTCTTAAACTGTAAACTTGTTTCTCTTTGTCTAAATAAATAAATATTTAATTCAAATACTATATGCAGGCCAAAATACAAAACTTACCCATCAAAACATTATATTTTAGAGTTTTATGTTGTCATTAAAGTCTAATCCTTCGTGGAGAACCTTGTACAAAAAAGTACAAAATTAACAATATATTTGTTTTTATTTAGAAACCCTGGATCCAGCTTTTTTTCTTACTTGGACTAGTATTGGTCCATGGACTAGAAACTGAGGGGATCAGGGACCATCGGGAGGACAGTCAGGGTTCATGGGGGATCAGGGAGGATTTTCAATTCCCAGCCGAAACAAGGAAATTCAATCAAAATAACAGTTTCAAATTTAAATTTGGGCAAAATATCTGATTCAGAGGAACTGACTCATTGACACAATCTCGAATTTTCTAATCCTCATATCTTTGCAACCATATTTCGTAGACCTTAAAAGTTTTAAAAAACCTAACATTTGGTCTTCCTTTTTCAAAACATTTGTGGCATTTATTCATCAACCTACTTCAACACTTTACACTACTTTTTTATTGTTAAAACAATAATACAAATATGTCCCCTGTCCTGCTGCAAAATGGAGTCAACGTTTTTGTCCTTCTCTATTACTTGAGATAATAAGACTTAATTTAGTTCAGATTTCAATTTATTTAATAAAACTAAAATTGTAGAAGTCTGAACGAAATTTTTCATGTTTCCGGTATTTTTATATGAAGCAAATGAGCAGACCAGGTTATGTATTTCGAATAATTGTTCCAATAATAATAAATGTATTTAAAATTGAATGCCGCAAAATATTTCAAAGATCAAAGATCAGCTTCAAGTCGTCTCTTAACTGCCATGTTTCGTGGGACATCATGTACCAGACATCATGTACCGGACATCATGTACCAGACATCATGTACCGGACAAAATGTACCGGACATCATGTACCAGACATCATGTACCGGACATCATGTACCGGACATCATGTACCGGACATCATGTACCGGACATCATTTACTTGATTTATTGATTGAAAACTGAGAAGTAACGAGAGAGATGGAAAATCTTTGGTAAACACTTTCCCCTTCAACCTTCAGGAAAACAAGGCTCTAACCTTCCCATCAGCAAACCAGGTGAAGGGGGGATGGGAAATATGGCGAAGGGGAAGTGAATATTGTGAGGGGGATGGGGAAATATAGTGAAGGGAGAGGGGTTGGTGGAAAGAGAAGGGCTGGTGGAAAGGAATCAGAGGGTTGGGTAAAGGGACCAGAGGGCTGGGGAAAAGGGGCCGGAGGGCTGGAGGAAAGGGGCCAGAGGGCTGGAGGAAAGGGGCCAGAGGGCTGGAGGAAAGGGGCCAGAGGGCTGGGGAAAAGGGGCCGGAGGGCTGGAGGAAAGGGGCCAGAGGGCTGGAGGAAAGGGGCCAGAGGGCTGGTGGAAAGGGGCTAGATGGGGAGGATGAAGCATTGATGAGTGGAGGAGGTTTGGAAAAAAGGAGAGCAGAAAAAAAGAGTAGAAAAGAGAAATGGAAATGTAAAATTGGAAGATGAAGAAAGGAATGAAAGGACTGTACGAAATTAAGATTGACAGGAATAAAAGGAATCAAAGGATTGTAAGGAATGAGAAGTAAAAGGAATAAAAGGGACGAAAGGATTGTAGGGAATGAAAGGAATGAAAGGAATAAAAGGAATATAAAGAATGAAAGGAATGAAAGGAATGAAAGGAATAAAAGGAATATAAAGAATGAAAGGAATATAAAGAATGAAAGGAATAAAAGGAATATAAAGAATGAAAGGAATAAAAGGAATTCAAAGAATGAAAGGAATCAAAGGACTGTAAGAAATGAAAGGAATGAAATGAATGAAAGAAATAAAGGAAATGAAAGGAATAAAAGAGGATACAGTAAAAGAATGGGGAAAGGAATAATAAAAATGAAATGCAAGAAAAAAGAAAAATGCAAGATTGAAAGAGTTTAGAAAGATTATGTTAAGAAATAAAAATGTTTTGATTTTTTTATGTGAAAACCTGATTTATAAATTCTGTACATTTGATTCCCAAGGAATCAATATAATTTGCACTTTGATGCACTTCTTTCTGCCTAACAACAGCTTACAAGTAACAGCTAACAAGTAACTTCTAACAATTGTAACAGCTAACCAGTAACAACTAAAAAGTAACAGCTAACAATTGTAGCAGCTAAAAATTAACAGCTAAAAAGTAACTTCTAACAATTGTAACAGCCAACAAGTAACAGCTAACAAGTAACAGCTAACAGGTAACAGCTAACAAGTAACAGCTAACAAGTAACAGCTACCAAGTAACAGCTAACAATTGTAACAGCTAACAATTGTAACAGCTAACAAGTAACAGCTAAAAAGTAACAGCTAACAAGTAACAGTTAAAAAGTAACTTCTAACAATTGTAACAGCTAACAAGTAACAGCTGCAGGAAAAAACTAAATTCTTAACAGAATTCAACTTCGTGACATTCAGACAATATATAACATCTTCGTTAAACAGAAATCCTGCCAACTTGTCTAATTACATCAAATTCATTTCACTTCAAAAAAAACTTCAATTTGAATTGTATAGTAAAAAAATTCAAGTAAGAAAAAAATAACTGCTAATAATAAATACATTAATATTTCCAACCAGCCCAACCCTCACCTGGCTCCCTTTTATAGAAAAAATGATTAGTAAGTGACAGTAATCACTATTATGTTCAAAAGTAATCATTATTTGGTTCGAACATTCAATATCCTATAGAATAATCTTCTCCTAAATATTTAATCCAACAGAATTTTTAGTTTGAAATATCTAAGGTCTACGACATTGGGTTCCAAAGATATAGGGATTAGAAAAATCAAAGTTTATGACAAAGACTCAATTCCTTCGTTCGCGAGGCAAAGATCTGAAGCTAAAATTGCTTATTTTCCAATTGTGAGGATTGTTAAAGAAGAGAGTTAAAATATTGCCTAATTACAAGACATTTGAAAAAAATATTCTTTGTTTTTAAAGAAATTTCAAAAAGATTTTGTTGCGATGAGATCTATTAGTTTCTGAACAATGCCTAACTGCCTATAAACCCTGAATACTAGGCAGTAAACCAATATTTGTCCTATCAATGTAATCTGTAATATAACTGTGTATATAAACTGTATCCAATACTATCCTGTCTATATAAACTGTAATGTATTTCTTCCTACCTAAACCGTAATGCAATTGTTTGGAAACAATTCTCATTAAAAAATATTTGACTTATATTAATCTAAATTATCAGTTTCATCCGTTCGTGTCAAACCAATTCAAGTAAAATAAAACGTTTTATTACGTTGTTTGCGAACATTTGTCAATATTTTAGAACATTTTGTTCGAAATTTCGAGAAAAAAAATGTTCGTGTTTTCAAAAATTCTTTTGGTAATTTGATATTAAAGTTTCTTCAAAGTTTGCTTATAAATTATGATTACTTTTTCTACTGAATGATTGAGAAAACAGTATTTTACGACCCATTGCCATGATTTATTGCTACAATATGCCAATCAGATTCTCGTGAGTGTTCATACTCTAGTTCGTGACTGATTAATTTTATATATCATACGACGTTGTTCCATAGTCTCGTTAAACTCTTTTTTTCTTCATAATAATTAATAATCACGGAAAATCGTTCCGCGTAAACTTTTTTTTCAGTAAATCACACTTTCACCTAGCTGTAGCATCTAGGAGGTATAGATGCATTCTTAATCATCGTTAACAAAGGTTTCGCCATTAATTTTCAACATCACATAAATTTCTATATTCCTCACATTTTGTTTATCATTTTTAACAAAATAATTTTAATTTCGAAATGGTTTCGTTATGTTCTATACGAGCAAAATGATTTTATTTTCCTAGCAGCGATAGATATAAATTATTTCAATGAATCTAGGCAAAACAATATGTACTAGTCATCGATAATCTATATTTCTCTCATAAAAAATTGGAAAATGTAATTAATCTCAAACTCGAGATTTCAGAACCGCTTATTTCCAAGCTTACATCATATTTGAAGATAGATTGCTTATTAAATAATTTCATGATATAAAATCGATTAGGCTTTTGCCAAGTTTTTCCTCAAAAGCTTATTGCAGGCTGCAGCTTTGAAATAAACATTTCATATCCAAGGCTACAAAAGTCGGAATTCTAATCCTAATTTTAGATATATCTAACACTTTTTTATAACGTCCTCACACTCTGTTATTGATTTCAAAAGGGTTTCAGTAAGTTCAATTTTACAAAGAAAATATATTTTTTCTAAAATATAAGCTGAACTGGGAACTCTTGTATTGTGGATATCGAGATCAATGCTAGATTTCGGTCTTTTGTTAATCTGCATATTAATTTAATCTTTATTCTACATCCCGCAGTCATACCTAGTCATTGGTTGAAAGGAGTTTGATGAGGGGAAGGAAAACTAAAATGAAGATGTGGAAAAGTATACTTTTTCATAAATCCTCAAATTAAAAGTGTCCACAGTGGATACCGAGATCAAATATTCGGGATTATGAGTAACCAACGCAAAAGTTCCTAGCTCTGTATTAAAATGAGACGCTAAAATCAAATAAAGCGAAGGGGGCAGAAAAGTTAACAATAATATTGAATATTTGACTTTAAAAGTTAAAATAAATTTTCCCAACCTGGAATTGTTTTGAAAGTTAAGTTATGCTCATCTGCTAAAATATTTTAGCAGGAAAATGATTTGCATTGGACAAAATTTGCAATTTGCAGAAGAAATAATGCAATGAAATTGCACTTGATTCAGTGCAAATATTCAAGGTTTAGAAAGAAATTAGAAGTTAAAAGATCAATAATTCATTGGAAAAATATGTTATGCAAGAAAGCGTTTTACTAAAACATTTAGTTGCTTAACACATTTTCGCTTTTAACCCTATTTAGCCTGACGTCTCTGGGTTACTTTGATTCCTATAGCTCAAATAATTTATGAGTTATCGCAAAAAAAAACGATGGGGCCAGATAAGGATAAGATTGCTTTGCATGTAAATAGATTTCCAGGACTATAATTATCCCTGTTTCTTGTAATAATATTAATATTACCTTTTCAACAATCTTCTCTTCCTACATTAGTAAAAAAGAGATTTTTATTTTTGAACACGTGTTTGGTCACGTGGTAGGGATCCGGAGGCGAAAACTTTTGTGTGGAATATCGTTAATCTGGAATGCTTGATCCAATGTGGCACTTTTATATTTGAGGATCAAAGTTATTCCTGCACTACGGGATATCGATGGTCTGCATAAGATGAAGATCAATTGAGGTTGATCCCGAGATTTACGACACAATAGTTCAAAAGTTTTGACTTTGAATTTCTCATATTGATTCGGGCTCTTTTACTTACATTAGGCCAATCCTTATTATTTAGATAATGATATTAAGCTGAGAAAACGTACAAAACAACTTCTATTATTATGAGAATTTTGATAATTTTTAATATTTATTTATTTGTTCAGATAGTTGAAGATGAAATATCATTTGATGCTGTTGCTGCAGCAGGGTCCGGTCCAGACAAGAGGTATTCATTCATTCATTTATTTATTCTTCTGTCTTTTCATCCATTTATTCATTGTTCTATCTTTATAAACTGTAACCAATAGAATCTATAAAAGTTGTATCCAATACAATCCTTTCAATGTGAACTGTATCCTATCTATGTAAACTATCTAATACAAACCTTTATATGTAAACTGTGCGACCTAAACCATCCTATCAATGTAAAATGTAACCAGTAAAATACTATCTATATAAACTGTAACCAATACTATCCTATTAATGTAAACTGTAACCAGCACTATCCTATCAATGTAAACTTTAACTGGTACTAGCCTATCTTTATAAAGTGTTGCCCATACAATATTATCTATGTAAACTGTAACCAATACAATCCTATCAATGTTAACTGTAACCAGCACTATCCTATCAATGTAATCTGTAATATAACTGTGTATATAAACTGTATCCAATACTATCCTGTCTATATAAACTGTATTTAATACCATTCTATCTATGTTAACCGTAACTAGCAAAACCCTATCAATGTAAACTGTATCCAATACCATCCTATCTATATGAACTGTTACCAGTAAAATCCTATCTATGTAAACTGTATCCAATACTATCCTATCTATATAAACTGTATCCAATACCATGCTATCTATATAAACTGTAACCAGTAAAATCCTATCTATATAAACTGTATCCAATACCATCCTATCTATATAAACTGTAACCAGTAAAATCCTATCAATGTAAACTGTATCCAATACTATCCTATCTATATAAACTGTAACCAGTAAACTCCTACTAGGTGTATTGAGAAGGTCATTATGGAAGAAAAAACTGAATGGGAAGAAGTTGAAGAATGTGATCATTCATACAATAGAAGATGCCATACATCACATGTTACAGTTTACACTGCAGCACAGGTTAATCATTAATTCACATGTTACAATATACAATATACAGTGAAACCCTTAACAAAGAATACATCGAAAGAATTCATCAAATGTCGTATTCTTCACTTTCTGATAATGAAATGTTGCAGATATTTTGTTTTCAATTAAATGATTATATGGAAATCTTTAAAACGACATTTGATAAATTCTTCCGATATATTCGTTATTAAGTGTTTCACTGTACAATCTATACAAAACATGATACAATATACAGTATACAATCTATACAACACGTGTTTCAATATACAGTATACAATATACAATACACAATCTATACACATTTTAAAACATATACAACGTATAAAATCTGTTTTAAATTATTGGGTCTTTTTTTTTGAAATAAACAATTCTGCAAAAAATGAACAGATTTACAGTTGAAACTAGCTGAGGAACCTAGCTTTGCCTGGATACTAAGTTTCCATGTTAAAGTTCACCCATTGTACTTATAATTTTCAAATCAAGGTAAGAACATACTTTATAGACGTAGATATATATATATACATATCTCATCCTTTATGAATCCCTCTGTAATATATATTCAGGAGGAGGAGTGTGAGGAAATATATATATATATACATATCTCATCCTTTATGAATCCCTCTCTAATATAAATATATATTCAGGAGGAGGAGTGTGAGGAAATAGATATATATATATATACATATCTCATCCTTTATGAATCCCTCTCTAATATAAATATATATTTTTAGTAGGAGGAGTGTGAGGAAATAGATATATATATATATACATATCTCATCCTTTATGAATCCCTCTCTAATATAAATATATATTCAGGAGGAGGAGTGTGAGGAAAACTATGTTAAAATAGAGTATAGTAGGATGAATAGTATAATAGCATGAAGAGTATAGTAGGATGAAGTATCATAGACTTGAAAAGAATTCAGTATTGAGTGGAATAACAAAGCATGGTTGCACACACATTATGACGATACAAACGATTATTATTGGACCAACTAAAGTTGATCTACATGAACTTATATGAGAGTATGTATAACCTATGGATGAACCCTTGGTTAGGTTCACAGTATAATAGGATGAAGAGAATAGTAGGATGAATAGTATATTAGGATGAAGAGTATTGTAGGATGAAGAGTATTATAGTATGATGAAGTGTATAATAGGATGAAGAGTATAGTAGGTTGAAGATCAAAATAGGATGACGAGTATACTAGGATGAATAGTAAAGTAGGTTTAGGATGGAGATTACAGAAAATACAAAAAATGAAATCAATACTTCGCAATGAATTTATTCGCTATTAGGAACCTAATGTAAGGTCAACTGATAATGCAGTTTTGTCAAGTATTGCATTAAATGCATTATCCTGTTTACTGTGTATACTGTTCAAGACATGCAAAAGTGCATTTAATGCAGAGATTCATCTTGCAGTATCATAAAGATATCAGATATGCAGAAGTGGAAACCATCCGGGATCTCAGAAAAATTTAAGAGAAAAAAATACTTCTGATGTTTTTTGCAAGTGCATTGTAGTTTTTAATGTATTCTAAACATTTTCATCTTTTTTGAACGCTAATTAACAATGTTTGATTTTGTGTGTACGGGGGGGGGGTTAAAAAGATGTGAAATTTTTCTTTAAGATGCATAAAATCATGAGCAATTTTTTTACTTACGAATCTTTTTAATCCTTTGAATAATATGATCTATATAGGTATGCAGGCGAGGACTAGAGAAGGATTGTGACATACAAGGAGAAGATATTTGTACTACGCAGTACGAAAGTGAATGTGTGACGTCACAGGAACAACACGAGGTACTTCTTCTTTCTTTTAACTTAGAGAATCAAGGGTCATAGAGTCACTGTTTAATAAAAGCATGATATTGTGCGTATTCCATCTCTGTGAATATAATTGATTTTTATGGAAACTATTAATAATGACGACTTTTACGGGAAGCTCTAAAAAATATTAATAATGGCGACTATTTCTGAAAACTCTGTAAATATTGATGATGCCGACTATATTACTGGAAACTCTGTAAATATTAAAAATGACGACTATTACTGGAAACTCTATAAATAATAATAATGACGACTATTACTGGAATCTCTGTAAATATTAATAATGACGACTATTGCTGGAAACTCTTCAAATATTAATAATGATGAATATTGCTGGAACCTCTTCAAATATTAATAATGACGACTATTACTGAAAACTCTGTAAATATTAATTATGACGACTATATTACTGGAAACTCTGTAAGTATTAATAATATCTTTCTTTGTTTTAAACCTTTACTATCAGAATTTTAATGAAAAAAGGTGTGCACGCAGTATTATTACATGCATTAAAAAAATGTTCTAGGCTTTCAACTTGTTTATAATGACGGACGGTTTAAAGTTGTAATTTTACGTTAATTTTCTTTAATTTTAAATATTCTGTTAAAACTTTAAGAGTAAGTTCTTGGATTGCATTTTCCTAAAACTATATATATCTACAACTTTTATTTTTACACAAGACAAAAGTTTTGCACAGAGCAAAAAAAAATCTGTGAAAAGTTTAATATTTTTAGTTTGATTGATTTTGATGAATAAATATTTACATATTTTAGATATTTTTGAGTGCCCTGTAATTGTATATATTGTTCAGGTTGAAGATGATATTCCAGTTTGTGAAACTATTGTTGACGAGAAGTGTGAAGATTTTACTTCAGGACTCATTCATTCATTCATTCATTCATTTATCCATTGATTGTTTTATTGAGTAATTTATGAATTAATCAATGAATTACCTGATTATATAATTAATTATTCACCTGTTTAATTAATTAATTGACTAATTGATTAAATTGTTAATTGATTAATAGATTATTTGATTAGTTAACTAATTAATTGATTAATTAGCAAACTGGGTTTTGTGCCAATCGTCTATGTTTTTAACTGCAATTATGCTTGGTCAGGAAAAATCACCACAAAAATAATGATTCTTGTTGCTCAAATTTTAGTTCTTGTTGTTTTAAAACTATTTCTGTCCGCTTAGGTTACATGAACTTTTCCTGGATGAGAAAAAAATTTGAATTCAAATGAAACCTTTCCATTTCTTCAGTTAGCATTATTTCCAGTACTGTTCACAATAGAAGGGTATTTACTCTTTACTTAGCTTGCAGCCGATCTAAAGAATACATGCTGAAAAAGGTTCCCATAATTAACATGAATAAGATTGCGAACTATTTTAGTAAAACATTTTATATAAGTTTAAGGATTTAAGTATTTTTTTCGAAACCGCGATTTACATGACTTCAAATACAAACCTTAAATATTCCTTCGTTTTCAGTCTTTATAGACCCTATATCCCCCCTCCACCCTTTACCCGCCCCCCCCAATCCGCCATGGTCTTTAGAATTCTAGCAAAACTATAAGGTTCGCGTTAGGATTGCCATAATTGCATGGATGTGCAAAACTGCCTGAATTTGAATAATGTTGTCGGCTTCAGGCTACACTGCCTTTACTGATTGCACCAAGTGGCCAAGGTAAGATTGTTCGATAAGCTAAGTTCGATATATCGAAAATTACTAAAAATATTTCAACCTTTCAAAAAATCTGATTAAATTAGCTACCGCTCTAGAAAATTACAATTATGATAGAATCTTTTAAAACTTTGACAGAAGTTTACAAATGTTTTCTGAATTGCTAAAACGAAAGGAATTAAAGATAATCTTATTAAAATAATGATCATCTATGATGAGTTTGTGGGTATTTTGCATGCAGCGAAAAAGAATTTAAGATATTTTAAGAAAACTATGATGTAATTGTTACTCAAATTCCTCAACTGAAGGAATAAAGGGTACCGGGGGATTGGCGCATGTGAATCGGACATGTCACTCTTTTGAATAAAGGATCAAATGATATTTACGTCTATAAAGTCCCTTTAACACGATACCTTTCAATGTAAATTAGATTTCAAAAAAACCTTATTATTTAAGTTTCAAAGAGCAGATTTATCCAGAATTCTGTGATTGTGTTGTTATAGAGGGCGCGCATGTTTTAAGACGGAAAATAAAGAACTATTCATCTTATAACGCTTTTTGTTGCTGAGAATCTAAAAAACATGTGAAGAAGATATGTTTTCCAACGAGGTTATAGTATATAAAGTGATGATGTACGCTAATCCTTTACTAATTGCTAAACAATCCCAAGTATACACTCAGGCTAATACACACGGAGAGGTAGCCAAGATCCAGCCCCCCTGATGTTTTCACAACCGGAATGTATTTACACGTCTCCCCTTTTCTAAAGAGTTCTTCACTTTCAAACATTTCTTAAAGAGCGTTTTAGACGTAATCTCAAGTGAGCATTTATGGGGGCATGTCCGATTCACACCGGTGCATTTTAAACCTCTATTTCGCAAGTCACTTTTTTAGAGAGAACCCACAGTAAAAATTAATCAATTTTTAGCTGGACAAATAAGAATATCTTGGTCATCCCTAATCAGACAAAACTTTAAAGGGTACCTTTGGGATCCGGACATGCCACTCTCTTTTAATTAAGTGTCATTAAAAATAATGTTTACAGTCCCATTAATGTTCTTTAAAATCTTTGTGACACGATTAGTATTCTTTGCTTTGTATGGTTGGATTTTAAGGTGCAACCTTTCAGATGGTGCAGTCTTGCAGAAACTGAAAAGTTGCAAAAATCATGATGTTTTCTGACCAGTTTTAAACACAAAATAGCCCCCATCTCCTTTTCCAGAAAATTACATGCAAATTACACTCGCCGGGTGTTTACCTTCAAATCTTCATCTTGTATTTCAGCAAGATTGCAAAATCATTTTTGCTAAAAAAATGTTCTTCACAGACTGCAAATTTATAGTTATATTTATCGTTTTTATTTTCACACAAAATACAAAATAATAATGTATGATGGTTCAGCTTAAATTAAAACGCGAAAGAAAATTTATTATGAGCCAATTGAAAATATAATGTATAATAATTTTGTTCTGATCGGTATTTGTTGAAACAGACTATTCATATTGAAATCTTAACTGAATATACATTCATTGTGGATTTACAAGTATAAATACTTAGTCAGCACTCAAATAATCAATACATTTTCAAGAATCCATTCATTGAACTTATAAATACATATTGATTCAGCAAAAGTAGCAATGTATTCTTGTTGACTGTAGTAGACTTTGACATCCACCATTGGCAAACGGTGTTAACCCATTTTTGTTGCCTGTAGTAGACTTTGTTACACTGTAGGTTAAATACACATTTTACAATAAACTTTAATGTTATTTTCAAAGAATAATTTGCCCCCCCCCCAAATTACAAATTCTCGAAATGCGCCTCTGAAGTGTACATTTTAGTTGTGCATAAATTACTAATATATTAAAAGTTATCTTACTTTTCACTTTGTATTTCTTTTTTTTGAAAAAAGCGTAGAGATGGGAACCCTAGCATTGTGGATATCGAGATCAATGCTTGATCTCGATATTTTGTCAATCTGCAGATTAATTTAATCTTTGTTAATTGCATCTTGTAGTTAAATGTTAAATGGAGCTTTAATTAGGGGAGAAATAACTAAAATAAGGTATATAATATAGTATAATAAGGTATATAAAAGGTATATGGAAAGGTATATTTTTTATAGATCCTCATATTAAAATCTTCCCGCAGTGAATATCAAGATTAAGCGATCGGGATTAAGAGTATCAAACACAAATGTTCCCATCTAAGGTTGATTAGACGATGTTAGGTACTTTCCCAAGGGCATTTTTCCAAGGGTATTTTCCCAAGTGGCAACTTCCTAACTGTGCAATTTCCCAAGGGCAACCAAGTCGCCCTTGGGAAAACACTTGACATCGCTTAGACAAACGAACAATGTCGATTTCCACAATACAAGAATTCCCAGCTCTGGTGCAATAAATCGCCTAGTACGTGACATAAACACATCGCAACTTGATGAATTGATAATCTGCAGATTACAGAAAATATTTCTTAGTTAAAATAAACATTAAACTTTTCTACAATTTAGGGAAGTGTGTTCACTGGAGAAGAAAACTAGGGTAAAGTTTACCCCTGTTACTAGATGTGACAAGGTAAAATAAAAACATTTTACAAAAAAACCCATATACATGTCTATTGATCAAAGAGAATAGAATACATATCAGAGTGGAATTTACTAGAAAAAAGTGTAAAACAGCCATTTTGTTGTACTGTTTCCATACTGCAGGTGTACTTCACATATTTGTGCTATATAATCTTTTGGGTCCTGGAACATCATTTTATAGAAAATCTAAAATTAATATTAAAAGAAAACCAAATTATGAAATAGGCTGGTTTTACCAATGATCATTTCACATAGACTCTATGCCTTTCATTTAACACAAACGATGATTTTCCGTTATAACTATCAAATGATGTTTATATTTACCTGATTCATTATAAAGTTTGTTTAACAGCTTTAAAAAATTCGAAATTGAAAGTGAACATTTACATGATTTGTACACTTTGAACTCCCCTTAAGGCTGAAAGGGACTGAAAAAATTCATACCGAGAGATTTCTAAATTCCACTCTAATATACATTCTATTCTCTATAAAAAAAACATTTAAACAATAAAAAATGTTCTTTCTATCCACAGTCGTCGTTGCATATATCAATAAAATGAAGACGACTTTAGGTTTAAAATTTTGATTTCTACCAAGCTTTCAAACAGCATGGAAATACATATAACATGGAAACAAAGCGAAAAATGATGATCAACTGAGTCTCAGAATTTTTTTTGCATGATTGGTTCAGCCGCTTCGAGGTTCATTTGAACCCAAACTAACCAACCAACCAACAGACAATTGGTAAATACAGGGTGTCCCAATAAACATGGGAATTCAGTGACGAATTCAATATCGTCTTTTTAAATAATTCTTTGATTTAGTATAGTGATACCTACTGAGAAAGCTGTAATCTGTAAGAGTTTCGTCTGCTATGATCACATTTTGTTTGTTTATGTTTTGACTGCATACGGTTGTTCTTAGTAAAACAAGAAAATTGCAGTATACAAACAGAGTAAACTTGTCTGTATTCACTGTTCATCTTGCGGAGACATTATAGACACATCTTTACTGTCTTTTACCCTTTTCATTAAATAAACTCTAGCAGACATAATAATATTATGGCTTTTGAAATTAGGTATTACATTTACGATGCTAATTCATAACAAAGACGATGCCGAATTCGTCAACATGAATTCCCATGTTTATTGGGACATTGATAAAATATACATATTTGTCCAAACTTTTTTTCACAAAATGCATTGTCATGTCCAAATCTTATTTAACCAATGACGGGGCAAACGCATACTTAATATAGCAGAGCGAATACAAGTCATGGAGTTTATGTTTATAGAGACGTTGTGCCTTTTGTTTGCATATTTACCAGTCTCATCACTAGGTACATACTAGAGGTACATTTGGACATTTTACGGTAGCATATTCGGACTTATCAGGAATTGGGTGAAAGGGAGTGACCGGCAATGTATGGTGGTTGAACTGAGATTGCAGTATTGTAGGAAATCATTTTAGGATTCATTTGAGACATATCAAACATTTCCACTATGTATAATTACTGAGTTTGAGCGCAAAGTCGACGTTAAAAATCATGAATTTGGGTGTTTACGTTTTCAGAATCATTCTTTTTATTATTAAATTACGACAACGAAAAATAAAGTAAAAATTATACAGTAAGCTTATTAAATGTTTAGGAACATATTTCTCTACAGAAATTTGTAAATAAATCAATGTTAGAATCAATTATTTAGTTTTCGTCATTTTATTGAATTTCTTATTTTCTATGAATTTGTTCCCATTTTTCTACTATTTCTTCTAATGTCGTCTTTTCAATAAAAATTCCAAAAAATCTGCAGAAAATTTTTGTGAACAATGAGAGATTATAGAAACTAATAATTTAATAAGATTTCGTATTTTCGATGATAAGATTAATTTTTATTTTCTCAACCTGTTCCTGAACAACTTAATAGTTTACTGTAGAATTTTTTTTACATTTTTGTCGTCATTATTTATTAATTCAAAAAAACCGATTCTAAAAACGTACTCACCCAAATTCATGATTTTGAACGTTGACTTTGCGCTCAAACTTAGTACATATACGTCATAGAAACGTTTTAAATGTCTCAATTAAATCCTAAAACTTTGTGAATTTTACACATACAGTTCAACCACCATGTATTACCGGTCACCCCCTTAAACATATACGAGCCCGGCCTTCCCAAACTGCCAAAAAAATCACGACTTTTGTTCACACACATTTTTTAATATTTTTGTTACAAATCTAGTTTTCAGTAGTCCTAATATGTCACAGTTAAATGTTTGCACAAAATCTATCCTCCTCACCTTACAAAATTTCATCTTCACCAATCTAAATATACATTATTATTATACGTGAAAATGGTGTTTATTACTTGTTTTGTGCCTCACAATATGTAGCAAAAGAGAAGTTTTGGTTTAAAAAACACTGCTTATAAACGAATAAACTTTTATGTATTTTTATCCAGTATAAATCTGCCTCCACGGACCAGGAGTATTTTTTCTGTTTGTTTTGCTTGGCAGATATTGCAAGGAAAAGCTGACAAGGAGTATTATTACAAATATTCTCAATTACAGAAACATCGGATAGCAACAAAAATATTTCTTATAGAATCTATTCTGATTTTCTAATAATAATATTGACAATTGATGCAAAATTAAGAGAAAGCTTAGAAATGTTTAAGCTTGAAGCACTAATTCAGGGGACATTAGTGTAAAATCGGCTTTATGGCACTCAGATTGGAACTAATGTTCCCTGTACTATTCTGTTCTAATATGTTCCCTGTACTATACTGTTCTAATATGTTCCCTGTACTATACTGTTCTAATATGTTCCCTGTACTATACTGTTCTAAAATATAGGTTCCTGTGACCCTATGTGGACCAGCAGGTTGCGGATTCAGGGAGGGAGAAGAGACATGTCAGGAGAAAACACAAACTCTAGTTCAAGATAAACCTGAGGAATCATGTAACCTGGATCCACAAAGAACCTGCAAACATGTTACTAAACTGGTTCCAGAACTCAAGGTATAAGTTCCAGAACTCAAGGTATAGGTTCTAGAAGTAAAACTCAAGGTATTTGGTTCCAGAACTAAAGGTATAGGTTCTAAAACTCATAGTGAAGGTTCCAGAACTTAAGGTATTGGTTCCAGAACTCATGGTATAGTTTGCTTAAAACAAGTTTTCTAAAAGTCCATTGAAGTAAAAAAGAATAGATATAGAAATCCGCAAACAATATTCAGTGGAAATATACGCCAAAAACTTATAAATCTTACAATGAATCTTAAACAAATTTTCTACTAAATAATTTTCTTATTTAATATATAAATACAACTAAATTGCAACAAAAGTTAATTTTGAGAAATTAGCTGGTGAAGTAGAATAATATTAAATTCTCACTAAAACAAAAACAAATAATTATTCCACAAACAAGTCTAATCCCTATATTTCTGCAACCAGCCGGTGTAAACCTTTGATATTTCAAGTTTAGATAATCTGATTTAGCAGAATTTATAGTTTGAAATATCAAAGTTCTTCCACATTGGGTTGCAGAGAAATAGAGATTAGAAAATCAGAATTTGTGGCAAAAACTCAACTCTTCTCTTGAAGGCGGTAGAGAACTGTGTTGATGTTCCTAAAGAGATTTGTGTTCGCTCTCAAAGAAACCCAAGAAAGATTTCCAGGTATAAACCCACATCTCTTGTAGAACCTCATGTTACCAAGGTCAAAATAAGAAATATACATCTGGAAAACAACTTGACTTTTTAGAATCCTCAAATGAAAATACATAGTTCTTAAAGATCTTGAGTTGTTTTAGTTTTAATGTACCAAGCAATGTGGGCGCAATTAGCATACGCTAAAATTATTGAAAGAAATGCAAACAGGAGCCTATAGTTTGATACATATAGGGTGTCCCATATAATACAGTGAATCCCAGATATATGAATGCATAGACCGTATCAAGTTTTTTGATAATTCTAAGGAAACTTCTTTTTATTTTTAATTCAAGGTAAATTAATAGCCCTAAAATGTAAATGCAATTAATATATTAATATTAAACTCCTTTTTCCGCGGCATTTGATCTTAAATATGTAATACGACATTATAAAAACTCTTGCTATGTATTCATACATCTGGGATTCACTGTGGGTAAGCAAATAATTTTCGGCATTTTATTTGTAATTCTAACTTTAGAAGTATAAAATTCTAGAGTTAATAATCACAAAATAACCCTGGCAATTTTGTGATAAAAAAATCTAAAAAAAGGCATTCATTAATAAATCATGCATGATTGATAACACAAAAGACTATGTAAACTCTTCCTAAGAGTAAAAGTTTTACTCCTAAAAAGAAACCCTGTACGAACATTCCAGAATGATTTTTATCTTTCTCTATACTGTACTCAAAGAGAATAGAATATATATTAGAGGAGAATCTCTCGGTATGAATTTTTTCAGTCCCTTTTAGCCTGAAAGGGAGTTCAAAGTGTACAAATCATGTAAATGTTCACAAATTATATGCAGTAGAGTACATTCATACAGTATGTTCCCTAGACCATTTATTTCAATTTCGAATTTAAAGCTGTTAAATAAACTTTATAATGAATTAGGTGAATAAAAAACATCATTTGATTTATAGTTACAACGGAAAATCATCGTCTGTAAAGTGAAAGGCATAGAGTCTACGTGAAATGATCATTGGTCAATTATAAAACAAGCCTATTTCATAATTTGGTTTTCTTTTAATATTCATTTTTGATTTTCTATATAATGATATTCCAGGGCCCAAAAGGTTATATAGCATAAATATGTGAAGTACACCTGCAGTATGGAAACAGTACAACACTTTTTTCTACCCTCTAATATATATTCTTTGACTGTACTGATCTTCCCCTAATAGAAGTGCACAGTGCACAGTGAACACTGCACAGTGCACACTGTAGGTTAACAAACAGACAATATATTATGCAAAAAAATATTAATGTTGAACATCCTTTCTTCCCAATAAAAATATTAGAATTTAGGATAAAAATTATAAAAAAAATTAAACCACGGAACATTGCAGGCAGTGTCTGATCTCAAGTTCAGCTCCATAAAATGTGTTTACATTTTTTTTCGGTCATGGCAGCATAAATGAGAAAGAACGTTAATTGATTGTTTGTCTAGTCCGGTGGTTAAGAAGTGGTGCTATGGTATACCCCCTCCTCCAACTACTTGCCCTGATACCTGCAAACAAGCAGCACGGTACTCCTTTTTAGATTTTTTATTTTCTTGATTTATTGTTGTCCATACAAATTCTATTTTATAGGGAACAGAAATGCCTGCCAGAGTGCCAGAAATGGAAAAACGATAGAAGTTGTTGCAATGAGAAGACGGTAGTTTGTCCCTCTCAATGCCTAGATGCTGCTCTGAAAGGAGAGTGCCCAAGTAGTTGTGAGAAATACAGGGGTAATCCAGAATGTTGTGGATCTTGCTCTGATATATGTTTAAGAGCTGCTAAGTCTGGCCAATGTCTACCTGAATGTGAAAAGTACAGAGGTATAGATATGAAAGATTATTAAACATTTATATAATCTAAATTTTTTAGGAGATGTTAACTGCTGTAACAGCTGTCCAGACACTTGCAAGACCGCCGCTCTAAAGGGTCAGTGTCTACCAGAGTGTAAGAAATGGGAAACGGATGAAAACTGTTGTGCACCTCAATGTCCTGACACATGTAGAAGAGCAGCACAATTAGGGCAATGTTTGCCTGAGTGCCAAAAATGGGGAACAGATGAAAACTGTTGTGCACCTCAATGTCCAGACACTTGCAGAAGAGCAGCACAATTGGGGCAATGTTTGCCTGAGTGCCAAAAGTGGGGAACAGATGAAGACTGTTGTGCACCTCAATGTCCAGACACTTGCAGAAGAGCAGCACAATTAGGGCAATGTTTGCCTGAGTGTCAGAAGTGGGGAACAGATGAAAATTGCTGTACACCTCAATGTCCAGACACTTGCAGAAGAGCAGCACAACTGGGGCAATGTTTGCCTGAGTGTCAGAAGTGGGTAACTGATTCAACCTGTTGTGCACCACAATGTTCTGATATATGTCGCAAGGCTGCAAAAGAAGGCAAATGTTTGCCTGAATGTGAGAAATGGAAAGGAAATGCTGATTGTTGCAATGAAGTAACACTTAAAGTAATCTGTCCGTCTGTTTGCCTTGAAGCAGCTCTGAAAGGGAAATGTCTGCCTGAATGTGAAAAATTCAGAGGTAAAGAAATTAAAAAAGTAGGTTCAATTGAAATTTTTAAGAATCAAATCAAATTAGAGGTCTAAACTTTTGATTTTAATAACGCTTGGCTTCAGCGAATGAGCCTGAATCTGATATCCAAAGGACAAACTTTGCTAAATTGTAACAAACATTGAGAGTCCTTAACAGCTCACATGGAACTTTTGACCATTTTAAGGTTGATGGTGATCGCTACTAAATTTAGGTGCACTGTATATAAAACAAATAAAATATATAATGAAATATCAACTATATATAAGTGCGTTGAAAAGTTATCGATGATTATTGGTTATAATATCTGAATGATTTGTTTGGAATTAAATTGATTTGTTTACGATCCGAGTCGAATTGAAACTGAATTTCTATGGACGCTACGTTCTTTGGTATGAGTAGTTTTTTTCTCCTTATTGACGCAACAGAAAGAAATAAGATTATAGTATCAATCACTATCGAACATTTTCGACGTAAGCCAATGCCCCCTTTCAATTTTCGCGAACACTCCCTTTAAAGGAATCATTGACAAAGGGCATTCTGCAGCTCACGCAGATTGGCCATTAACAGGATGGCTAGCTGGCTAAGCAGAAATAATAGATTAAAGACATAAATAATTCGCCCTCTTATCAATTCAGACTTTCAGAAACGTCCAACTAATAAGAATTATTTAGGTGATACAAACTGCTGTAATAGCTGCCCAGCTACCTGTAAAACAGCAGCAGCTAAAGGTCAATGTTTGCCTGAGTGTCAACTATGGAAGGATGATTCCTCATGCTGTGCTGAGTGTCCTTCAGAGTGTATCGAATCTGCTGCTGCCGGCCAGTGTCTGCCACAGTGTGAAAGCTACAACAGTCCTAAATGCTGCTCTAAATGCCCAGCAAAGGAAAGTATTATTAAACAACATGCTGCTGTAGACTAGTGTACTGTTAGTGGCAGCTTTCACACTATTCTACAGCTCACATCTGTGCCCCCTAGCAGACTGATATTATCCAACTTCAATAAATATCCATTCCTTTTTAAAAGCATGGTCAAAACAATTTTCATAGGATACCACTAATTTTCAATGCAATGAAGAGATTGACACTAAATCCTGTTTCAATATTTTACCGCTCATTGACAATTTTAAGATTGGTTCCATTATTTAGCAGTTTTTTTTCTCTCTTTTCTTATGTGGATTTTGGAAATGAAACAATTCTACCAGGTTTCAATGACATAATTAATTCCAAATCTAATGTCTTGATCTTGTTGTCCATGATGAAAGAACTGTTTAATTTGAGGATAAATGCCGGATCCCTCAATTAAAGTTATCCCTGGACGGTATGAATATCAGGTATTTGCCATTTTCTGTTGTTTGCACATGCCCCATAAAATTCCAAAACAGAGAGAGGGGGATTGCATTTTGTAGATCCAGAAAAATAATTAAATTAGTATTTATTTAGGGTTAGGTTAGGTTAGGTTAAGACACTTTCTGGGCCGAGCGCTGCGGCTAGGACAGGCCGAGCACTGAGGCCACAGGTTAGGTTAAGTTATGACACTTTCTGGGCCGAGGGCTGCAGCTAGTGGGCCGAGTGCTGCGGCCACATGTCTTACATTTAAGACCCCACCATCTGCCAGTCTCTACGCAGGCATCCCTATAGATATTATTTTTCTGGATCTACAAAATTCAATCCCCCACTCTGTTTTGAAATTTTACGGGGCATGTGCGCACAACAGAAAATGGCACATGCCTGAAAATCATGATATCGAATAAGAATTTGTAGGTCTGCATAAGATCCCAAGATGGGTAACACAGAACCTCTGACTTCAAATTATTTTTTAGTGTGTTGAAGATGCTTTGTTTGGATTTTGTTCTGCCGATTGTAAGAAGTATGAAGGAGATCCCAACTGCTGTGCGCCCACTTGCCCGGCCAAATGTACAAATAGAAGACGTGGGTCCTGTCCGGCCACCGGGGCTTTGGAGTGTGGGAATATCCCAGGTAAATGTTTTGAGAGGTCTTTATCAAAATTTTATCTATATAAACTTTGCTTGTCTGTATGCTTGTTTGCGTCCAAAAAACGTCAAAACTTTGCTTGTCTGTATGCTTGTTTGCGTCCAAAAAACGTCAAAACGGCTGAACCAATCGGGCCCAAATTTAGTTTTGGGGCTCACATGACCCCAGGGAAAGTTTATGGATAATCAAAATTTCAAAAATTAGATTTTCATTAAATTTTGAAAATTCACGATTTTTTTATATAATCCCCGTACGTTATTGTTATTGTTTGACAAAGTACACAAGAAGAAAATGTTCACAATTGAAATAAAAGATGGACGCGAAGCGCCCTGAAAGCCTAGTAAGAATATAAAATAACTTGAAATCTAGGGAACTCTAATATACAATTTATTGGAAACATTGCCGATACTCTGTAGATTTGTACGCCAAAGAGAAACTCGCGGATTTTATATTAATCATTTACACGGATTTCTTTAAAATATCAGTAGGATAAGATTATTTAAACCCTTTTTTTCTAAACAAGGTTGAATGCCTGTCTTAAGGACGTAAAGCTTGACACACCGGGAACTTATTATAAGTCTTAACAGAATCAATCTATTGAAATTATTGGTACAATTTAGTGACTTGAACCAGGATTTTAAATGAACATGAGACTTAGCAATTGTGCAGTGCAAACAGATCCTTTTTACTTAATAAGATATTTAGTAATTACTAGTAAAACTATTTGCTATTACCAATATCAAATGTACTTTTGCTGTAATGTCGTCTTCATATGCCACAGGTTTCTGGTTCTTACTGTAGCATTACATATTAGGATAGAATGATAAAACTGGTGAATCATGAAGCATTAGCAAACACATATAAAACAATAATCAGAGGAAACAACTTGATTAATCATTATATTTAATATTTTCAGGGTGTTGTCCAGATCACTATGATGTTCTGTATGGAGCAGTTTCGTTTAAGGTATTTAAAAATAATTATTTTGAACATCTTATTTGGATAATTCTATGATAATGAATGGGGGGTATTGCAATAAAATATACCATTTTAAAATCATGTCAGGATGCACATGCCGTACTAACTATAAAAAGTAATCTTAGTAACTTTCTTCAGATTGTTAATTTATAAACGAGACGTAATTGATACATTTTTAGTAGAATTCATATGCATCCTTCTAAAATCCGGTTTTATCATGTCCGCACAAAGATTTTGACAATTTTAACAAAAAGTTAGATTTATGGGTTCACTTAATCTTTTTAAACTAATCAAATATTTTGATGGACCAAATTTAATGAATGGTAGAGGTCGCTGAATTACTAACTGCCAGTTCAAGTCCTCATGGTTCAGCGGCCTAACTAAAATTTATTAAAATCGGTCCTAGGATAAATTTAAATATTCATTTTCAGGGCGAAGGCGATGATTCAAACTGAAGAAGATAGTTTTTAAACAGAATCTTGTAAATATTAAATGTTATGTAATAGCGCAGTTGTTGGTAGTGGAGTTTATTGTACTTTATTATTTAAACCCTAGATGTATTAGACTAGATAGCTCATGTCGTCTTCACCATACCTGGATGTTTTGAAAATATGAATTAAGCTCTGCACTAGCTACGTCATTGTTGCAGTACATTGAATAAAATGTATGCTACGCACAAATGTTTGGGGTGTTTTGTATTGTTTAGAGGACCGGAGCCCAAAACTTAAGAAAGGGTATCGTTACGAAAACCAGTTTTAAAACCTGGGTTTCACGAATGGGGGGCAATTTTGTGGATATCAGTATTTATGTTATGAAATATTTTTTGTTAATTTCTTAATTTTCTCCAATTTATTCGAATCTCTTAAATCAAAATCTACAAAATGTTAAGACCCCAAAAAGGAAACTCAATAGTTTCGTTCAACGATACTCTTTTAAATTTCGGGCTCGGTAATACACACAATTCAGAATGACAAGATACTGATCAGTTAAAAAACATTTTCATTGACCTTTTTGTATGACGAGTTCATGATGTACAATTTTCAGCTGTATAGTGAAGCCATGCATAAACAATCTATTCTAATGTATCTAAGATTTAAACGAACAGAAGTCGTAATTTTAATGTATCCTCCATCCTGTAAAAGAGGGACATGTTGAATTCACACCGATACCCTAGAAACCATTATCTGGAATATGACGTCGTTATTCTGACTTTAGATAATTTCTCTCTGTTTTGTCTAAGACATGAAATGCGCGTCATTTCTGCGGATTGACCACAAAAAAAAAGCATGGATCCATCTATAAATTCATACTTGATCCGACATAGCTTTAAAGGTTGTTGTTCAATATCAATCTTCAAGAAAAAATATAATAAACATTGTAATTCGTAAAATTAAAATCTTTATCCTTCTAATTTGTAGGGTGCCCAAATAAATAAAGTAAAGAAAAAATTAAGCTAAACCCTTTCTGATCTAAGGTAACTTTAAGTTGGCTAGAAACCGAGAAAATTTGGTTCACCGTCTTACTATCTTAAAAGAAAAACAGGTGTTAAACTTTTAGTTAATGCTAATTTAAATCTAAAAATTAAAAATATTAAAAATTAAATTAAAAATCACACAACATATTGAAAATATAGCGCTAATGGCTATTGGAGGTTATTCAAATGTCGTCACTACAATCTTTCGTTTTCAGGCACCTTGTATGTCAGGGATAGAACAAGTGCATCAACTTTTTTTTGGTACCTTAGCTGTGCAATGACACCTCCATTAATCTCAAAGAAAAACCTGTTTTAATGTTAGTTTGTCAAGAACTAAAGCATGTTCCAATTTACAGTGATTAGTCAATATATTACCGTTCACCTAGTCTTATCTAGTTAAATAAAGCTAAGGCACAAAACCCTAGAAATTCATTTTAATATTGTGTGTTTTGTATGTATGTATGTTACCTATAGCCTGTCAAACCAAAGGCTCTGTACTCTGAGGACGTCATTTCCAGCAAACCTCTAATTTTTTTCCAGATGCATATTTGCTTTATTCGAACAACACTGAGGAAGATATCGTCGTTTTGTATTTTAAATTTGTTGAAGTTAATCATGTTTCTGTCCCTAAGAATGATGGCGTTGTTTTCGTTAAGAAAGTTTTTCGTGTCCGATGTGTGTTGTTTAGAAAAAATACGCTCACTTAAAATCTATACATCGTAGAAATGTTATCAATGATATCAATTATGAATCCTAAAAATATATCCTATAATAATTCAATCTCAGTTCAACCACGTTTCCCAAACACGGACATTGCCTTTAATAAAAAAACTGATCGACTCACCACAATTACTTATTTCCCACAATTCTATCTTCAGAATCACGATTTCCCCAGATTTTGAAATAACAATTTTATTTGATTTGTAAACAAGACGAACAGTACACAGAGTACACTTGACATTTTAACTCGAATATTGTTTTGAAGTTTACAGAACACCAATTTTATGGAAATTTTAATAATAATACATTGGCCAGTACAAATTGTTCTTTTAAAAGAACACTGTACTGGTAAACATTTGTTAAATTAGTTCACAAGTACAGATTAAAGAATCATTGAATTATTGAGATTATTAGGGAAACATCAGTAAACACAAATTCTTAATATTGTAGCAAAGTGTACAAACTACACAACTGTACAACTGTAAAACTATACAACTGTACAAATATACAACTGTACAACTATACAACTGTACAACTATACAGCTGTACAACTATACAACTGTACAACTACTGTTGTGCAGCTACAGTTGCACAACTTTACAATTGTACATATTTAAAACTGTACAACTGTTCAGCTGTTCCACTGTTCAACTGTACAAATTTAAAACTGTACAACTGTACAAATGTACAACTGTTCGACTGTTCAACTGTACAACTGTACACCTGAGCATCTATATTCCTTTACAATTGAACAACTGTACATATGCTTACAAAAGAAAAAATAAAATTTTTATTTTATCCTTAAATAAAAAACTAAATTAAAACTAAAATAAAAAAAATTATCCATTACATAATCTGCTTACTGCAGGGTGGGAGGGTCTATTCTGCTAGGCTAGACAGAGCTTTGACAATTTGTCTAACAAACATATTTACTATTTATATGTGGATGTTCCAGATGAAACTAGGGACTGAGAAGTGAAAAGATGCAATCTTTATTACTTTAAAGGGTTAACCAGAAAAGCCGAGACAAGAATGACATGAAACCGATCTAAAAGATGAATTGTAAGTGAAAAAAGTTGACAACTGCAGGGTACCAGGAATGTAAGACAAAGGCGGAAAATATTCTGTTCAGTCTTCTAAAAGTCTCATCCTTTTGTGGGTAACCCTATAATTCAGAACAGAAAATTAGATATATATTATCATACTTATCGGTAAATAAAGGGATACTAAAAACTTTTCCTTGATTTTAGAATAATATCGGCATGATGCAATTTAAAGGAAAGGCATGATGCTGCAGTGTGGATTGTGATGCATGATTTAAGGTAGACTTGATGCAATAAACTCCTTGAGATCTTGCATCTCTGCATCACAGCTGCTGTGCATCATTCCCTAAACATAATGTATCATTAGCTTTTATTTCGTAATTTTGAAGTTTTCATNTGTTTAGCAGCTCAATCAAAAATGACGTAGGTACAGATTTATCAGTTCTGCTTGCAAGAGCTTCTCTACAGAAATGTGTACAATCCTGTAACATCTACAGAGAATAGAATAGAGTTGGCTGGTAAATCATCTTTGTTAATTTTTTCAATACATCTAAAAAAAAACTTGAGTATACTGATGTAAGTTGGAAAGGGATTTCAGAAAATTGTCCACAAATAAACTTAAATTCTCTGTGTAACATCCTGAGCCACTGATAATGGCCAACTTATGTAGACCAAGGTATGTAGACTAAAGGTATGGGCGATAGGAAAACTCGTTCTATCTACATACCTTGTACTTACCAATCATAATACGTTCTGCAGGTATACCAGCCTTAATCTCATCTTGTATCAGGGATATAACAATCTGAGCAGCCTAAACATGAACATTGTACAATACTATGCATGTAAATTGTATAGTAAAACACATATACATTGTACTGTATAATACATGTACATTGTACAGTATAATACATGTACATTGTACAGTACAATATATGTAAATTCTACAGTAAAATACATGTACATTATACAGTAAAATACGTGCATATTATTCAGTATAATACATGTCCATGGTACAGTATAATATATTTTAACTGTACAGTAAAATACGTGTAAATTGTACAGTAAAATACATGTACATTGTAAAATACTATATATATGTACATGGTAAAATACTATACATGTACATTTTACATTATAATACATGTACATTGTATAACTGTACAATTAAAAAATGAATAAGTTAAGTTTTTGCATGACATGAAAGTACTACATATTCAATGCAGTACATTTAGTGCGGTTCAGTGCATGATAATAATACAATACACTATATACAGGACAGTTCAGTACAGTTACTACAATTAAGTATAGTACAAGTATTGTACACTTACCTTCTTAATCCCAGCTTCATCCTCTGGACCGTTAGCGTCCAGGGTGAGCAGGTCAAACCAGGAGGGAGACTCAAATCCTTAAGTATAATACTTTTAGGCTTAGATGTTACAATTTATAACATCCAATAAAAAAGGTGTGTGTTAATTCAAAATGTTTTTAAGCTTGCATATTTAACGGGAACTGTTGACGTAATTTGAAGTGAATGCCATTAAAGAGTTGCATGTCCAATTTACAACAGTACCTAATCCCCATCTGTAAATTTACCCTTGATAATAATTTTGGTTGGTGGCATCAAACAACAGTTGGGGAAAGGTCAAGAGGATTTCTCACTCTGCGCTGGGAAAATATCAGTGCTTAGGATCCATTTAATTTTGATGCTGATCCGTATCCGGATCCTGGATCCGCACTGGAAAAAATGGATTCGGATCCAGATCATTTCTTTAAGATTTACCGATTTTTTAACAAAAAATGATTTTCAAATTTTTTTTTCGCTTATTTTTATCATAAATCTCGATGAGGCCTATTCAGAAATGAGGAAATTTTCAAAAGTTCAGATTTGGGTTTCAGGAGTAAAAAAGTTTTTTTTCTTCAGTTTTTGGTTGATTTTTCCCCCTTGGATCCGGATCCCGATCTTAAGCACTGGAAAATATATGCTTGGGTTATTAGCGCTGCGGATTGGACAAATAATAAACAAATAATCAAAATAAAAAACATTTAAATTCATAGATAAAAACAAACAGTTCAGAGAACGGAATGGACTATTCTTAAATTTTATGAAATAAAGATTAAAATCCATTCATTCGGTGGTAATTTGACTGGGCACAGTTCCGTTAATCTGATCAACAAAAAATTCTTTATGAACGGAAAAAAGGAAGAAGTGTTTTTTTTTGTTGTTGAGTGAGAGCAAACAACTACCTGAGTTTAGGGTAACCGGCATCTTACCAGCCGACGGACAAATCACCTGATAAATAGAATGAGAAATAGTTTTATTTAAATCTTACCAATTTTCAACGAGAAGGAATCTCATTTTTCTCTTAAATGCCAAGTTATCTGTTTTACTATATTTACAAAGAAATGTGTTAAACTGATGTTTCCTAGTTTTTCTGAACTGTAATATTAACATCAGAGAAATACAATACACAATTACATAATTTGCAAAAATCTCTTATAATTTCATTAATCCCAGCCCCAGCACCGTTCCTTCATTATGTAGTTTTGTCTTCACATCACATCACATCACATTAATACCTGTATCTCCCAATCCATGGAGAAAGATAAAGGAAGCTGTGTGCTTGGCTGAGGCAGAAACTATTACTGGATCAGGCATTCTTAAATAATACGTTTATATTTTTATTTCAGTTTCTAATGAAATTGTTATTCAAATGGCAGGCCTGTAGCTACAAATACATATTGCACATCCCACCTTTTTTCGGTCAAAAATCAAATTCAGTTAATTTTACAAGTCAAAAATAACTTGATTTTGCATGAAAGAATTAGTTAGTTGTATTTAAAGCCAAATTTTTGGTCGTGTTTATAATTAAAGCTTTGGTTCCAGGAAAACTATTAATTAACTATTTCGAAAAAAGTTTTCCTCCCAAAATTTTAGGCGCTAAAAGAAAACGATTTTTACCAGTCAAATTTTAAGAAATAACGCCTTCCTCTGGTCAGTAAGCAATACAAAAAGAGACCCTGCATTTTTATATTTCATTTAGAAAAGACTAAAACTAATGTGAGAAATCTACTTACTTGTTTGAGGTTAGCTTAGATTTTGAGTTTTGAATTCCCATACATTAAACAAATAAAAATGCAGAAAGGTTATCTGAAAAATAAGTTTCTTTTTAACTGTTAGTGTTTTGTAAAATTAGAGGTAGACAACTATATATTAGAGCAAGGCAGTTTTTGAGCAATTTCAGTTACAGGCACAAATGAAAAATGTCACATGGAAAATTTAGTCATAGAATAATCAAAATACAATAATAGCACATATGTATATATATATATCTAATAGATAAAATTTCAATAAATTGGTATTCATGATAAACAAATGAGAACTGTAAAAACTGTGAAAGAGTGTAAATATGTAACAAAAATATAGATTCTTAAACATTAAACAACGATCGCATACAAAATATCAACTTTTTTAAACTAAGATGAAAAATAATAAAAATATGGTTTTGATTTTTTTTTGATTTCAACTATTTAGTCTTACAGCTACCCTTCACCGTTTTGATTATGGTTTTACAGATGGCAGACTTGCATGGAATTCAATACATCACACAAATTCAAGGTTTCAACATTCTTAAATGTAAAAATAAAAAAAACTGTAACAAACATTTTAATATTAAAACGCTCTGAAATTTCTGCAATCTCCTCTTAGCCGTCGGCGATTTCTGAATAGTCTTTCGCTGGCGGTGTATCTACTGAAATGCGCGATATTTGGTTTGGAACTGTAGTATCAGCTGTGCAACAGCTGCAGGCTGATCATACATGATCAGATGACCACCATCTTTGATCCTAGATTCAGTTTATAACAACATTAAAAAAATGTGGTAGAAAAAAAACTACAGCGCAGAAAATAAAGAACAATGGTTCCCTTAAAACTGTTTAATAGGAAGACAACATTCAGCCAAACTCAAGATGTATTTGTTATGGTTATAAAGCAACCTGTAGCTTAAGAATCAACTTCTTATGTGAAATAGGTCTGAGCTGTGTGCACACTGCAGAAATGCTTTGTTTCGTGATTATTGGACTAATTTAAATCATAACTTGAGTCCGATAGTCATCTTCCTATTGCACAGTTTTATGGGTCAAATTTTATTTTCAACAATTGTCAGCTAAAATGATGTTAATCCCTGAAAACGTCTTTCGCACTGTGCATTAAAGAGCTGTAAAAAACCTGTCGGTTTCCAACCACAAAATCACCTAAACAAAAATATCATATAAAACAATGCTTAGAATTCATTAAATTTTGATGCGGATCCGGGTCCGCACTAAAAAAAGAGATCCGCATCCGGATCCAGGTCTCGAACATTTTTTTAAGATTTAATGAATTTTTCTTCTTTTTTCGCATATTTTTATGCTTAAACTTGAAAAACCATTCATAAATCCGGAAAATCAGTCAGAAATCCGGAAATTGTTATAATCTCTCTATTTTAAACAGTACAGATTTGGGTTTGAGTTTTTTGTTGTTGATATTTCTGCCCCATGGATCCGGATCCTATGCACTAATAAAAGGAAATAATTCAATTTATAATCACTATACCTTTGCAACCTGATGTTTGTCTTAGAGCTTTGATATTTCCAACTTTTAATTTATAGTTTGAATTATCAAAGGTCTACATCACACATAGATTTAGCTAGCCTAGTTTTGTTGAATAAAACGCAGAGGGTAAACTTTCCAGTAGGTAGTGGCTGGCACGAATAAATATAATAAGATTACATTGTGCCGGTTAATCCTTGCACTAGTTCGGATCAAGCAATATTTGGTCTCATGAGTGATAAGGTTTCAAAAATATAGGGATAATAACATTAAGATTCAAGCCGAGTAATCAGTTCCTTCATGATCAAATAAAATTTTCAAATGTTTAAATTTTGTTTGATATTTGCTTTGTTCATTTTCAAGTTTTCCACCGTATATAAACACTATAGTATTTGAAATGTCATGCGTCAAAAACTAAGTAAGACCTATCTTACGCAATATTGCCGCTTTTGTGATTGTAAATCTAACCAGATGCAGCCTTTAGTCAGACCGTGTCAACCTAATTGCACCAGCTAGCCCTCCCTACTGTAGTTGTTGTACAGGCCGGGACAGTACAAACTAGAACCGTAAAGGTCGGTTCAGCTGATTCAAATGTACATGAGTTGAGAGTGTGTATTCGAATATAAAAACATAAGTTTTAGCTAAAATAAACCTAACCTTGAGATATAAAAGGAAGAAGTGAGGGTTGGGAATATGCAACAAGGGTTGGAATATTCGTCCTAAACATTAAACTAGGGTGGAATTTTTCCTTTAAAATAAAAAACTAAAGTTTATATTTTATTATCGAACAAAACTCCCGGGTTTCCTTTTTTGGGGTCTGTATATTTCTGTAGATTTACATCAAGAAATAGAAAATAAAGAGAGGAAATAAAACGATAACCCATTTATAAAATAGCATTTCTTAAAAAATATATATAAAATCTACAAAATTGCCATAGCACGTTCGTGAACATGGTTTGCGATACTGAGTTTAATAACGGTACGGGGTACCCTGTCTACTGTAGTACTGGGATCCGTATATATCCTGTACTAGTATGAAAATTGAAAAGTATTACCTGGATAGGAAGTGTCTAACCTCCTTCATCTCCCCAGCCTCCGGATGGTTCGGATAAACAGGAACTAGAAGAGGGAATGCAGTTGTTCCACCACACTCCTCCAAGGAACGGTGGGGGGCTAGCATTGCCTGCACCTCCTTCAAGATTATTAAAATTTGGGGAAAAATCATAGACTAATTAAAAATAACAGATAGAACACTAGATGTCGTTTTTTCAAGATTTAGGGGTTTTTCGTTCACAATAACCCTTCCTGAGGCAGTAGCCCATGGGAGTTACGCGCATGTTGCGTTGAATGACAAAATAGAGAGTTATTGTGGACAAAAAACCCCCTAAATCTTGAAAAGACGACATCTAGTGTTCTCTCTGTTATTGTTAATTAATCTCTGGGAAAAATATACAATAATAAATTAATAGTAAATATGCCTTTTCTATACAATTTATTGGTTACATCACATTTTAAATTAATAGGCAAGACCAAGGAAGATTGGAAAGAAAATAAGTTTTGGAAAACAATAAAAATTGATGATAAATTATCAGCAAAAATAAGTGCTTTATTATCCAACAGGGGTGTATATTAATTACGAGACTCATATTTTCCCCCCCCCCTTTCAGAATCATATTTTTCTCCAAATCCACAAATTAAAAAACTGGTATATTTTTACGGGTTTCTGAAGCTCGCGCAAACTTTGAAGATTTTTTAGATTTAAAAAGCAAAATGAAGCGTTTTGGTGCCCTGAAAAGGTCAACTTCAGGGTCCCCCTGATTTTATTTAAGCATTTTTGAATATTTTTTTTTTGTGTGTGTGGTTTTTTCACTTTCCTCTTTCCCC